CTTCAACACTGTCTAGGATTAAAAATAGTATTTATTCCTTAACACTTAAAACAAAATTTAAGACTGAGTTGAGATTGAGAGAAATAATACATAACAGGAGACCAAAGGCATAAACTTTAATAAGACAGAGCTCAGGTACAAAGTCAAGAAGCACCAAGAAAAGCACCTTATGTGGGTAAAGGGAGGTCAAGGAAGGAGTACCTGACTTTTTTCTGGGGATATGCTGCGTGGTGACACCAAACAATTCATGAGAACCATGTTCTGGGCTTGAAACTAAACAACTTGGATGAAAGCAGGTTTAGGTTTTCTTCTGCAGAAAAAAGAAAATACACAGATTTATCCATTTCCACTGCCTCCTGCCCAATCAATGTCTTGCTTTTTACTTTGATTTTGCATCCCAATCAACAGCTGCCAGCTATGAGTAACCCTCTTCAGAGTAAGAGCAGGAAAAAAAATGAACCAAACGCTTTAGTACATTGATTCACAGATATTTTCAGTTCATTACGAACTCACAATATCTACTGAAATCACAGTGTATTTTTGCAGTGTCTGATCTGCCACAATGCAGCAAAATTGATCATCTTCCTCTCAAAAGAAAAATCAGATATAACTTTGGGGCAGCCAGACTTAGAGTTGCGTGAGTTTTGAAAGTGACAGCCTAAAAAAAGAAGAAAAAAAACATTTATTCTATTACTTATCAGAGGTGTCATACCACCACTGCTACCTAAGTAGCAACCTCCAAAAATGACAGGTAAGTAACTGGGGAAAGCAACACCTTGAAATGCTTGAGCTGCATTTGCTAGGGGTTATTTGCCAGAATCCACAGTGAAATAAAAAAGTAAGAAGCCTATGACAAAACATTGACATTGTCAATACTTTGAGGGATAAATTGCTTTCAGACTCACCTGAAAGTGTTGGTTAAACTTGTTTCCATTGGGTCTGCTCTATTTCCTTAATAAGCAAGAAGGCACCAGGCAAAATCTGTGGAGTGAAACAGTTGGCACTGAGAGCCCAACACCTGCTCCAGCCCTGGTCCTGCAGAACAAGCAGTCCCTAACAGCTGAAGACATCTGCAACAGATGAAGACATCCTCCTTTCACAGGACATTTCACAATGTCCTGTGAAATCAATCTAAATCCTGTCTCCCCCGACCACTCCATGATGCAAACAAAAGCACTGGGAGCACAGGCTACTGTGAGATTTGCTCGAAACACATCCTGCTAATCCAAACAAATCACTTGCACAGAGGCACCCGGAGATGGCAGCAGCCCTGCACCGGCTCATGGTGCAGGGGGATCCTTCCTGGGATCGGCAGCTCAGAAAGGCCTAAGCTGAGCAGGGATTAACAGTGTGCTGGTTACAATGTTTAATCACAGGTTGTCAATATTTTAGAGGTTATCAGAACGGCAGTCAAGCACCACATCCTGTTAGGCAATGACATAATGAGCATCCTTCACAGTACAGTCCGAGAGACAAGCAACAGACACAAAGCTGTGAGTAGCCTACAGGGTCATTGTTTCACTATAAAAACAAACAAACAAACAAACAAACAAAAAACCCAATTAAAACAACAACAACCAAAAAACAAAAACAAAACAAACCCAGAAAAACAAAACAAAAATTAAAGCACTAAGTAAAATCAACCCATAGACCGTGTTTGGGAACTGATATTCAAAGCCAATACCTCATTTCTAGTCTCTCTCTCTCCATAAATCCTGCCCAAACACAGGATGATGATGATAATCTGCAAAGTATTCCTCAATACTCTGTCCAATTATCTGCAAAGTATTCCTCAATACTTTGTCCAATTTTCAACTTTCTTTAATCAACCATAACAGCATTAGAACAAAAATAACAGGAAAATCGGAGATGTTGGTAAAATTTGACCAAAGAAAACTTAAATACATGGGAATTCCAGGGGAGGTGAAGAGTTTCCTTGAACAATTTTTTATTTAACTGCCAACTGAAAGTTCAGAATTCTTTGGTCTCGACTAATTCTTCACCTTTACCAATTCTCACAGCTCAAGAGCTGACATCCCACACCAGGGGAGCAATGTTTCAGTGCAGAGAGCCAGTAACACCCCTCAGCAGGATTTTAAGTTCTCACATTAGATATGAGTGATGTTCCAAAGCAAAGCGATCTTTCAGGGTATTTGCACTGAAAACTGAATACAATGCTCTTCCCAAACTCCACAGTAAGAATGCCTGAATAAACAGTGAACTATTTAGAATAAGGCTGCCATCTAGTAGCAGAAGAGAGGAAATGCAGAGAAATCTCAAGCCAAAACTTGAACTGTGAACCCACTCGATGGTCAGACATGCTGTTACAGAAAGCTATAAACACTGGCAAGCATAGCTCTTAAGAAAAATAAATGGAAGCAGATTTCTTGCTGAATGGTGGTTTGCAAACAGGCAGTTCTCCAGCACAATCATAAACTATTCAGTTCTTAACAGGAAGTTTACTCAGTCAGGCAAGTCAACGTGTACAGAGGTGGACTGGTATTTTACTTGATCTTTTGTTCCTAAAAAAACAGCAGCCTAATTCACTTTTTCTGAAAGAAGACCATGTTTCTGTGTGAGGCTGCACGCTACAAAAAATGCAGTGAAACAAATGGGAGTCAGCCGGAACCACAAAGACAGTCATAGGCAGGGCCCAAAACCTGAAACTAGAGTCACAAAATAAGTTTTGTGTAAGCAACTTCCTGAAGTGTTACCATATTTATTCCTGCTTCTCAGAAACTGTGCAGTTTCCAAGTCAGAGCTGCAGTACATAAAATTTTTCTCTTTCATCACTTAGCTGTCACTGGCTTTATTTTAGTCTCACAGACAGAGCAAATACCATTTACAATTATAATCTACAATGATTTGCTGCAGTGTTTCATCCGTGGATCGTTTCTAACACACAAAGAGTGAGCTCTTGAGATGCCATCATGTTGATGCCTCCTCTGTACAATGCAGAGACTTTCCAGTTCAGTCACTGAATGTGTTCCAAGAAATCTGTCTTGGCATGCCACAGTTACCAGGGCTTTGGGAAGATGCCGAAATGTCCTGTCTATATAGGAAAGAATGGCTTGCTTCTGGTTAGTGGGAAGAGAAACTCTGGTCTCTTGCTTTGCCATATCCATTGGCCAAGAACCACTATCCCTAGGATATTTTCAAGGCCACCTGCTTCCATCACAGCTTTCTCAAAGAAACTGGAAGCCAGCAGGGGAAGAAAAGAAGCATGACAACATGTGGAGAAAAGCTGAGGGCAGAGACCTGGGGAAGACAAAGAGAAGAAACAAAGAAACAGAACTCAATTTTTCCAGAGAGCCACAAGCAATGAAGGAGAGAAAACAGCTTTGCCCTTTGGAGAGGTATGAACATATTTTTCAGCACTTATTAGAGAAGGCACCAACCTAAATGTAAAAATTGTGAGTTAAATTTTGTCACATCTAACAACATTAACTTCAGGCCTCTGACAGTAACTTTAGCTCCATGTGGAGGAGCAGAAAGAAGCAGAACAGGTAGGAAAGGTCAGAGCACCAACAAACTGCCTTGGCAGTTCCCTTTGTCCCTTCTTATCACAGCAAATCTTGTTCTAGCAACAGGAGCAACACCAGCCTGATCACATCTTTCAGTTCTCAAAGTCAGAACTTCCCTTTTGTTGTTCTGACTTAAACAACTTACCATGCAAACATAACCTCTATCCTTAAGAGTTACTCATCTGTCCTTACTCCTGCTATCTGTGACAGGCTGGGGCTCTGGAAAGCAGAAGTCTACATGATGTAGGGAAGTAGGTCTTGTGATCACAATTTCTCATTTACTGGAAGACAAATGTGTATTACTGGTTTAAGTTCATTTCCACACCCACCTCTCTCATCCAGTGCTAAACAGGATCCAAATTATTCCTTAGGAGTTAAGAATTAAAAATCACTTTCCATGTTTCCTGCTTTTGCCTACAAAGTTTGCATCTGATCAGTTCCTTGTGGCTTCACTTGAAACTACCACGGCTCCTTCTTTTAACCAATAACTAACAGACAGTCAGTATTTGACAGTCTGGCTTTTAAAAAAATCTTGGCTTCCACCCAGAGCTCAGTTCGGTAGCAGAACCTCATCCGGCAATTCCCACTATTAAAGTAATGGGATACTGAAGAGTATGAGTAATACTTAATTAAAAACCGTTTAGCTGCATTCCCCTTCCCAGAAAAGGGCGAATGAAAGGTGATAAAACCCCAGTGTATCAGATTTTTATGAATGTAATTACCTCCTACACCTCCTCCCACAGGATTTTACACGGCTTGAGGTTTTGGGGTTTTTTTCCTGGTGACACAAAACCCCCCCTATAGTTACTAAAGGAAGAGTTTTGGCTCCTGTTGCACAACATCACTTGAACAAAGACCACTCTGTTGAACGTCTTCCCCAAACCTATTTCCCCCCAAAACAGCTCAGGTAGACTTTTGCTTTGGTGTTTACAGTCAACAGTCCAAACACAACAGTGAGAAGAATTATGCTTTTAAAAGGCAGGCAAAGAGAGCTACTGAGAGTAAATCAAGCTACCATATCTTCATGTTTTGGCAATGGCAGTAAGGTGCTGACTGCAGATCCACATCCCTGATGCCTGCTTGTCTCCCTCTCCAGGAAATAATGGCCTAAGAAAGAGTGTGGCAAAAGAACTTACCGGCTGGGCAAGGCAGAGACCAGCAAATAGTTGTTACAAAACAAGTGCTCAGCTCTTAAACTTCAGGAGTCTGACCCCAGAAAGTATATATGACTTGTAAAAAACAGCTCCACGTAACAGGGAATTATTTTCTAGAGCTAATTCATACATAATATGAAGCTAACAAAATACTCCCCCCCAAATTAAACCACTTTAGTTTTCTTCCTATCAGACTTATATCACACCTATTAAAAAAATGTAAGTCTCAAGTCATACCTAGGATGAATACCAGACTTCTAAGAGGATAAAAACCAACACACCCTGAGTATCACAAATGTACTTAATTCCCAGCTCAATAAAATATTGGAATATCAATTTATTAAAAAGTTATGCGAACTGTACATACGTAAACTGCAATATAGCTGAAAAATCTGAAATATATAATTTTAAAGGAAAATCATTTATTTCTGAAAATATTTAAAATATTGCATTTCTGGCAGCAAATTCAAGAGAAGTGCTCTGGAATAGGTGCAGTCTCTCTGTGCATTTGTCTAACAATTGTCTTCAAGGCGTAAAACACATCTGCTTCCTGATTTCTCACAGCACAGCGTTGTGAACACTTTCTTTCTGGTAGAGACTGAATTTGACTTCCAAGAACAGCAGCAGAATTTTAACAGGAAATACTATGGTCCTTGTTGGTGTAGACAACGCACTTCCCAAGAGTCCATGACACCTTGGCAATCTGCCAGCCATCCTGCATAAACTGCACCACACTGTGCTTAAAAGTCACAGAATAAGTCTTTGATTGATAATTTTTCTGTTTATTTCCGCCAAGGCCACCGAAAATACGAAGGCCTTTTCATCTGAAAGGTTAGCATACATGTCAACTTCTTTTTCTTGTTTCTCTGTAGAAGAAAAAAAAGTCACTATTAGAAGATTTCTCCATTATTCCAAGTTAATGCAAGTTACACAGCAGTTAATAAATTATGTGGAGTGAAGTAGTAGAATTGAAGTCAGACAATCAACTCCTCTGCACGAGGCATTGAGAAAGAAGAGGAAGCAATGGAGGCACACGAAGGCGCTGGAAGAGCCACAGAATTAGTCATCCAAAAGCATGACTGAATTTCTGTTCTTAAACCATGACAAAAGAATGAGTCGTTAATATAACAATAAACAAGTATTCAAGTGTTCCTTCAGTGGTTTTGGTTCTGCTGGTTTGTTTTTTTAATTTTACATAAACACCTCACATCCTAGAAAACAAAGTTATTTTACAATATACTCATTAAACACAACATTTGTTTCCCTACTTTGCATATAAGTGAAAGCAACCCAAGAGTTTAATTACAGTATCAAAGACCAAAGAGCAGATACTTGGCAGAAGTCAGGCTCCCAATTTATCATCATGAACACTTCTGGACTTCCTACACTGCAGCCTTTCCATCCTATCCCAGCTGGAGAACAATGCTAACACCTCCCTGGGCAAATGACAGCCTGTGAGCCCCCTCTGCTGATGTTGGCTTGCTTCAATGCTACAGACACACAACAGGAAGCCATCAAAAATTTCCACACTGCAGTGCTCAAGTAAACTGAGTCACACCACAAAATCTTGTAAAGTAACACGATTTCAGAAATACCACTTTCATAAATATCACCCACTCCACATCACAAGTATTTATATCCCAGTTTATCCAGCCACAGGTAGCTGACACAAATCATTTAGAAAATAAAGCTAACAAAGAAACAGTTTTGTCAGCAGAAGACCAGGCTTGTGGACATAAAGAAGAGAGAAATGCATTCAGAGCTTTAAGGTCGGTGCCCAGCTGTGGAACTCCATCTCTAACCCAGGTTCCACAGTGGCCTGTAATTACTTACAACCATGACATAAAGCTCACCTGACAGAGCCCTCTGTCTCACTAACACAATCACACATGTGGCAACTGCTCCACCAAGACACCTGGACTGGCATGGGAGAGAGTGAAAGACAAGGCAGCACTGGAAAATAATGGAAAGCACCATGTGGAAAAAAGATCCCAGCATCTCCTATCTCCACCTACTCACCCAGTTACCCCTCGATGGGTTCACATTCATTAACAATATTTTTAGATTTGGTTTCACATTTGTGTTACAGCTATGGACAGAATTCCAACAGACTGCCTTCCCTGTGAAATCAAATGCTTGCATTAAAAAACTAAGTAGGAAAGCTGAAAATCCTTTACCACCATGTTCTGATTTAATACTGATACAGAAACAGCAGAAACAAGCTGTCTGTTGGTTCCCTGGCTATGCAAGACAATATTCTCTAGAGTACTGAGTTTGAAATGAGTTAGAAACTGAGTTTCATTGCAAGTCCTGCCTTGTAGTTTAAGGCAAATCAGTCCCTGCATGTACACCCTGTCTGGGTTGCTCCACTTCCTCCCTCTCACCATTTAAAAATTAACAATGCTGGGAGTTGTTCCAACCACAGACACTGCACACACTGGTTATTCCACATTAACCTTTTGTATTTTCATATCTAAACCCCACCCCTTTTTTCATGCTTCCTGATCCAAATCCAGCCACCACTTAAATATGTGGGTACCCAGCAAAATGAAAAATACTCCCCTCCCACCACCCCTGGGCTACTGTTAACAGATTTTGGACTTTTTAAATTTTAGTTGCCCTTCCTCCCTGTCCTCACAGGACAGGTTTGTTCTGAGAGACTTCATCTTACTGAAATCTTAATATCTAAGAGTATCAGGGATTAAGGTTTGTAAGCTTCACACATTCTCAGGGCAGTTCCAGTTCTCAGCAGTAGCAAGTGCCGAGTCTGCACCAGCACAATATTTTACCCCAGGCTGCTCATGGGACACCATGGCTTCTGCAGACACAGTTAAACCTTTCCACTTCAGTCTCCTCTGAGAATAGATTTGACTCATTTCTCTATTATGAGTAAAAGACAAAAATGGTACTGTGCTTCTGTACAACTAAGAGGTTATTGAGATGAAAATAGTCAGTCCTTCTGGAGCACATCTCTTGCATCCCCCAATCTCCTGCAACCCCTTATACCTGCAGCCCTTAAAACTGAATATGCACAAATCAAATGGGGACCCTCCCCCTCACAAATTTTGCAAGGATTCACTACTCAAGATAGGAATTTACTTCAAATGTGCACACTGGGCAGCAAATGTGTGAGTAATACAGCTGGAAAACACTGGAAAAAGAAAATTTGGGCCAAAAAATTTACTTCAGCTCAAGTTCTATCAGGATACTGAAATATCTTTATAAAAAGATTCATCCCTTGTTAAGTAACAAGTATGCTTTAGTAATTCTACAGACCCTTTTTACTGAGTCTTATTTGCTGGTAACCTCTTGCAGAATAACCAACACCACTTCCTTCAGCACACAAGGGTTTTGTTTGTTTTAATACAGTCAGGGTTGGTACCCAGATAACAGGGCAGCCTGGGAACAGGTCTGGCTGTGTGTCAGTCCCACACACTGAAACAAAGAACACACCACCATAGCAACAATATCAAGAGTCAAATTATTACGAAGCGTTTCTATTTTCAAAATATATTGTACCATTTCTGACAAACAAATCAAGTGATAATTTCGACAAGCTAAGACTGCAGAGAGAAGTTCCTATTTTCCAGGGTCATCAAATGGCTCTGGAACATGAGACAGGACTATTTTCTGGGTCCCAGCACTCTGCCATATCCCCTTAATCTACATCAGCTTCCCCTTTCCTCCCTCTCCATTCCTTCTTGCTAAATCTGCAGGAAAAATAGCTCATTTTAAAAAAGCTTTTTTGCTTTTTCTGTTCTTAATTGTTGCTGAATCCTTCAGCTCTGTGCTCTAATGTGAACCAGTCACAGAGGACACAAAAGAACCAGTCAAAGGCACGGACATAACTGGAAACAAGCACACTGTGTACGGAAAGAGCATGGCAAGCAAAGAAGCAAAGCTACAAATGCCATGGGGATCTTTAGGAAGACAATTTTCATAGCTGGGTGGTCTTCAAATGGACAAATGACCTGCTCTTCCATCCTATTATAATTGAGGTGTTTTCTGTCCTGTTTTTCCATCTACAAATGCATTAGGCATTGCAGAAGCCCAAGAGGCACCAAATATTTAACACCTATGCAAGCAGTCTTTTCAAATATCTGGGGTGAAAGAAGGACAGCACAATCTCTAGTGGCAAGCAATGTGTACCCAAAATATCACAGAAACAAACAACGGGCAAGGAAATAAAGTCTAACACCAAGCTGACACCTTGCACTCCAGAGCTGACTTTCACCACTACACAGACTGATACCAGGACTAGCAATCACTCACACAACAATCACCTTTACTGTAGTAAGTTGCTTAATATACATAAACAGTTGCTTAATATACGCAAACAACACTATCAAGTAGCAGGTTTGGTAAAAGAAGACTATTTCTAAAATTCCCACTAATTACTTCACACACAGTAGTTAGGTCAATTTTCTGAGAGACTTGAAAAGAGAGAGGTCAATGTTAACTTGATTTATAGTAATTACTTACAAAATGATGAGTTCAGTGTTGAATTTATTTTTATAGCCATGACAGCCATATATATATAACTTTTTTCTTTTTTTTTAATCAGCCGCAAAATCACCGCAGTGACACATTACAGTCTGACATAACCAGAAATAAGTCAGAAGTAAGAAAATATTCTAAGCCTACTTACTCCTGAGCAATAAGATGAGCTGTCCTGAAGCAAAGATAATGACAAACGGGTGTGAACCCAAGGCTCTGTACCAGCTCTGCAGAAGAGGGGGAGCAAGACATTGTAGCAGTGGCCACAAGTGGAGGGGATGGCAAGAGCAGGAAAAGATGAAGGTAATCTTACCAAGGGAGATTCAACTTTAAAAAACACACCAAGATAAATGCACACCACACAAACACACACACACACTCTGATGCAAAGATCTCACTGCATCTCTGTCTCCAGTTTTCTACCTCAAAGCACTGCCATACTGTACCTCGCAGGATGCAGCAGGAGGTTGGAAACACTCAGCCTAGTTCTGATTAGGAAAATGTGCTCTCTAAATATCCCTCATGCTGTCAGGTTCTTGCTCTTTGGAGAGTATAAAACGTGTTAAGAGAATGGATCTTCTCCTTTGACTGCTTTCCTCTTTTTCAGGGGACAGAAAAGAAGATTTACTTTTATAGGGCAATCCAAGCAGCTTGCTGGAATTTTAAAACCAAAGCTGTTTGTGAACTAGACCAGCAGTTAAAATGCCTAGAAAGGATCCTAAAGTTGCTTGACAAAGTCTAACCTGGGTCAATAACAAATAGGGAAAGTACATACATCAATAAGCCACATAAAACAGTGAAGAGATTAGATATTACCAGTGTATTCCTATTATAGCAAAACAATTGCCACCCAGAAAAAAAATACAGAAGTCAAATTCCACCTCCTCTTTCCACATCCAGAGTACTAAAAAACTCCACCAAATCCCAATTTATACTTGTTTTTTACATGAAAGAAACATTAAGAAAAAACATTTGAATTAAACAGCAGAGATGTCAAAATTGGTTTTGAAAAGGAATTAAAGGAATTTGCAGCATGGATTAGCATCCTTTTTTTGGTTAACAAACAAGTTGGAAAGGAAAAAATAAATGCATTTCTGAGTTATAGCACAAGATAGGCTTGAAGGGTTCAGGAATTTTAAGAACAATATCTTCTGCATATTTGTGTGAAGTTTTCTTATTTTCCTCTTACCTGCCTTCCAACATTTTTAAGTCCATGTTAAGTTTTAGATTCATAATTCAGGCCCCAAATTACTATCTTCAAAAACACAGATAGCAAATGAAGTGTCATTGGGCTCTTAAAACAACAGAAATTTTAAGTGACAGTTACATCCCTTAGGGGTTTGTAACAGTCTCTTTGCTGTATAAAGACTAAACCCAGCAGGTAAACAAGGAACCTTAATAATCAAGGAGGCATTTTTTCCTCCAGAGTGTTATTCTAGAAACATGGAACCAAAATTCAGGTCATAGTAGTGATGCCCTTTTTACTTTGGCCTTCTTAAAGCTTTTTAAGCAATCCCGTGCTTCTAATCCCTCTCTGACAACAGACATCATTATATTGCTTGTCCTTGTGATATAACGCTGCAGCACCTCAATAGAAGCCAAATCAAAACAAAAAACCTACCCAACACTTCAGTCCAATGGCTTTCAAGCTACATGTTGAAACTTGACACAGTGGCTAAAAATACAGATTTAGATCTTTGTGGTTTGTTTCATCAGACACTGAAACACAAAACGAGAGGCCTCTACAGATGTGAAACAGTCCCTACCCTATGTTAAGATACCAGGTATCAGCTGAACTAGTCTAGTTAAATGGTTTATTGATTAAAAAAAGTCTTCATACAAATAGAAAACCCAGTGAAAATACTTCTCCAGTTCTCATACCTCTTTCTTCCTCGTGCTTTTTTGCTGAGGCACTTTTAGGTCTTCCTCTTCCTCTTCTGCTGTGATCTGAATGGCTGTTAGACCTGGATCTTTTTCGGTTTTCTAAGTCTTTATTTACTGCAGAATTTATCTTCTCTCGCTTAACTCTCTCTGTCCTCCTCCTTTTGGCCTCACTCTTGTTTTCTGTGCAAAGGAATAGAAATGAAATCATCCAGGGTTCTTTTCATCTCTGTTCTTAATTTATTCCTAGTGCTTACCCCATGTTTTTTCCTTAAAGTGGTTAGATGTTTATGTCTGTACATGGCATCCATGCAGAAACGAAGGGCTCAGATCCAGAGTGACACTTCACCTCTTGATTACAAGGTGAAAACCTTCAATTGCTTCAAATGCATTTTGCAATGTGAGATATTTGCTAGTACACGAAAAGCTCAGTTTCCCAAACAAGATGGAAACACAAACTGTACACACCACAGCCACCAAGACAGCCCACTGCATTTGTGTCCTCTAGCAAAAAAAAAAAGGTTTATCATACAGGCAAACACCAGAACACTTGAGCTTCTTTTGACAATAGCAACGAAATCATTCCTGCTGCTCAGACAAATCAAAGGCTGAGTCAACGATGCCATCAGTAAATGCCACAAAACACGGTGTAGGTGTCCCCCTATGACAAGGCTGTGACAGGGGTATTGTTTTCCTACACACCAAAGTTTAAAAAAAAAAAAAGTGTATTTACATGAGTTTCACCTGGAGGTTAAGTATGAATTAATAAGCTTGGGTACCCAAAATAGTACAGTGACCACAGCACACTACTGAACATGGATTAGCTGCACATTTGCAAGGCTGCAGCACCGTTCTGCAGCAGCTGTATTGTGGAAAACACTGAAACATTTCCTAAAAGAAGTGGCAGGTACCTTATGAGAACAACATAGACATAGACAGTCTCTTACTGTATCTTCCTGGGGAACTGATTTTCTCTTGCTGCAGTTATCCCACTAATCTCGTACAGACACAGGGTACAAACTGGACAGCAGTGTAACTTGTCACTAATGTTAATACAAAAGCTGTATTTCACAGTGTCACCAACAGGCTGAAGTATTCAGGGACCCTCTGGACACCAACCTCGCCTCTGCTCAAGCAGGGTCACCAAAACCAGTTGGTCAGGACCCTGTCCCGAAGGTTTTTGAGTATCTCCAAGGATGGAGACTCCACAACCCCTCTGGGCAACCTGGGTCACTGCTTGGTCACCCTCACAGTGAAAGGGCTTTCCAGAGCTCTTTCCTACAGGATGGCCCCCCAGTATATATTCACTTTGTCTCCCCTGGTGCATTTCCTATGTCCAAAGCTGAATTACACCACCAGATTACAGCCTTCAGCTTCACTTGGTAACTACTTGATCAACAAGTGAGGAAGAGGAAAGAAAACTGACTAACATTTCCAACCTACCACAGACATTTCTCAACCTCCTCCACCTTGAAAGTTAAGTCATCAACACGATATCATCTGATTCCTACAAGATCCTTCAAAACAGGGATACGAAACATCAACTGCTTAACTCCCATTTTGTAGGTCTGGTAGACAATTTTAAAAAGCAGACATTCTAGATCAGATATGCTGCTGGGGGTTTTTTTGGTGTTGTTTTTTTTTTTTAATATACATCTTTGCCGGCAGGTTCTTGTTCTCACTCATTCTTACTAGGACTGGAGGAAGTGATAAAAATTATCAGAAGATCAGAAGAAGAATGTTATTCATGCCAGAATGCACATTCAACTGACTGATCACTGTATCCACTTGACACACAAGTTGGACACAAAAAATACACTATTTTTCAATTCAATCCATGGAGAGAGAAGCAAGACCCACCTGGATTTAGATTAAACGTTATGAACAATTTTATTTTTTACTTTCAGAACACCCAGCTTCAATCAGCACATACTCTGAAATCAGATCCTTCTGGCACCTCTAGACACTTAGCTTCGAAATAGGATTAACACAAAGCTTCCTGTAATGAGGTTTTTTGCATAGACACCAATGTGCACAGCTAGAACATACACAGAGAAAATGCCAACATCACAAGTGCAAACAAAGTAAGACTGAAAATACCAGTTTTGCCCCCCTACTCAAAATTCAAGCAAAATGAACATATTCAAAGTCTACCATGCACAAATTCAAGGGAAAGTGAACTGACAATAGTCAATTCATCCAGAGAAGTAAAATACTTGATCCTTTGCTTCCAATAAATAAGGGGAAAGAACTGTTGCCCCCTTCCTGCCCCTCCATCAGTATTACCTGTGATGGGTGGTGATCTCTCAGAACGTTTAGCATGCAAGAGTTTTCGACTAATAAATATGTAGCCACAGGGACATGATTTACATGCAACAGGAACCTGGGAAAACAAAAGACAAATATTTCAGATAGAGTCAAATTATGACAAAATTCCTGCCTGATGAAGAAACAAACACACCAGGAACTCACATTTGGCAGAGATAACTCTTCCAATTCAGTCAGTACTGCAAACTATGGCCTGTACTATTATACAATTGTATTTAAAGATAATAAAACCAGAATATGCTGTGAATCACCCAGCAAGCCTTTTCTTTATGCAGTTGTTCAAAACCAAGCTGGAAACAGCACAGCTGTTGTGATTGCTTTGCACTGCTTTTCCCCAGGCTGGCAGGAAGGGGGTGGGGGAAAGTGGAGAGCATTAAAGGAAGGCTGAATTAAAATAGAAATACAATTTCTCTTCAGAGCTCTCAAATATCACCAGCCAAATCAGTCAGACACTTCCAGTTGTGCTTCCTCTATTTATTTTTAAAAAATAATTATCAGAACCATCAGCGCATTCAGAATACATTCACTTTCAGAAGCATTTGAAAGCAGCTCCTTTAGAGAGCAGGAGCAGCTTTAAACAGGAGGCACAATAGAGCCCGAAGCAAAACAGATGCATTTGTACCACACTGCTCCAGAGCTGGAGACAAGGCCGGGTGGCTACAGAAGGACCTTGTTAATTCAAAATGCAAATAACTCACCACAGCCAGTCAAAAACCGACTGCAGGCCCAAGAGTTTGAGAGAATACAGGGCTTTTCCTGATCAGCTGAGCAGACAGGAGCAGTGTGTTCCCCCAGAATATGACAATGTAAAACAAGAAATGCCACATTTAATATGAAAAAATGAAAAAAAAAAAAAATCTCAGAGCAATTTTTTAAAAAGCCACACTGATAAACTACAACCCTCATTACCTTAATGCCAAGATCTTTGGAGATCTTTTAAAAGTAGTAAGGAATACATCATGTTGCTTTGTTAGGTTTAAGACTGAAAACACAAATCAAAACAAGTTTAAACAGAGATCTGGAAGAGATTAAAATAACACATGAAAGTCGAGTCATGTTGAAGCATGACAGAGGGGGAGAAAAAGCAGGAGGGACTTTCTCCAGTGTAATTCTTTAAGACAGGTCACTACAAGTTTGCCAATGTCCACTGAAACAAACAGGAGCACAGAACCACCACTGTCTGCCCAACGTAACCAGAGATGGACAAGAACCAACCTCCAGTGTTCCACCGGCTAGAAAAGACCCTGCCAATATAGTACATGAATTTGTAAAGGGGAACTTAACTCCTACTCAGAATAAAAATTATTTGGCTTTCTGCAGCACATCCCAACTCCTGTATTTCACTCTACAAGCAGCTTACAGGTAAGACTTTTGACACAGGTTTTACACAACTAGAGACTTTTTCATTCCCTTTATGGAGACACTGACATAATAAAACCAATTCCAATAAAGGTTTATTGAATCTTAAAGCTCAGAATTTAGCAGACTTATACGCACACTTGTCTCCTTGTTCATTTATCAGTCAGTATAAAAGTACTGAAGTCCACAGTCTAGTAGATAATGTGTGTATTAAGGTGATACAGGAGTTCCATTTAAATCCATTTTTGAACCCTTGAGTCTCTCCAATGATTACGTTTCCAGCCTCAGCTTAAAAAAAAATTTTGGCTAAACCACCCAAGGGAATTGGAACAGACCCAGTATTTTTCAACGAACTTAACTGTACCTAACAGAACAATTCTGTTCTCACGTTACAGGTTTGGCATGTAGGTGTGTGCACCATTAGCAGGGTGGGGATTGGGGGGAAGGGGCTCATTCACTGAAATGTGTCAGTTACCCTTTGAAGGCCTACGCTGATAACATCCTGCTCCATAATTAAGGCTACATAGTCCTACAAACAGTACGTAACTTTGTCTAACATCTTCCTAACCAAAAAGAAATTCAGTTCCTTACACAGGAAATTTTACCTGACACTAAATTAAGAAGTGATAATTATTTCCTCTCATTGACTGTAAATACTTCAGGCTCCCCAGTTTAATGGGGTTGTGCTTTGGTTGTGAAAATATCATTGGCAATGATATATCATCTAAATTACAATTAAAAAAGTTTTAAGCCCTAGGAAGTCTTACTCAACATTATACTCCAATAATTGTCGCTGCCTTATATCTCCATGCTCGCCACTTCTAGTTAAGAAATCAGAGACAAATGCAAGGCCCTAGCGTATGGAAAAATTTAAGAAAGATTACTACAGGACACAACCACTGAAGAGTCACATGAGAGCCTCCCCATGCTCTGCAAAGGGCGACCTGTCCTGTAGGGTTTAGTTTCTTTTTCCCTCTCAAATATTTAGCAGTGAAAAACAAAGTCCTGTGAGCAGTGTGTGCCAGGGCAGGACATATATGCACATAAATTCCATATTAGCCACAGAAGAGTAGCTAACACAAAATCTACACTGACATATGCCTATCATGTGTTTTAAAGTGCAGAACAAAAGTGAAAGTTATCACATCAGCCTAAAAAGCCTACAGTGTTTGCTTACTTGCCCTTTCTATTGTTGGTTTGACATTCACTACATTTAGTAAATAAAACAAAAAAGAAATAAACAAACAAACAAAAACAACCAACCCCCCCCCACTCTCATATATAGCTTCTCACTCATTTTCACTTCTCCTTTCACCAACTGAATAACCAGAGCTTGGCACACAGTTGTTTCTCAGAAATAGCCCTTCAGTGACGTGCCTAACGTGAGCATTTGCAGTGGTTCATCTGCTGGCTGAAACACGAAAGGACGCCCACACACAGCTCAGCACTCCAAACTGTTCCAGCAGGAGTAGAAACACTGGAAAAACTATGCAAGTCAGAACCAATAATAGGATTTTTTTTGTTGTTATTTTTTTAAGTAAAGAAAAATGGCATGAGGTTATTATTTTCCTTAAAGTGGTGCTAAAGGAGCGTGTCCCGGTCCGTGTGCAGGGTCGGACGGGAGCAGCGCGGTTCCCATGACCGCATGTGACAGGCTCTGCCCCTCCGCCGAGCCCCACGGCCGCTTCTGCAGCGCCGGGCTATTGTTCGGGGCTCCGCTGGAACCGACCGGCCTGTTTCTGAACAGCCACATCGTTCCCGGCGAACGGGGACGAGCTCCCGGCACGGCAGCGGAGCGAGGCGGCCGCTGCCACCCTGGAGCGGGAGCAGCTCCATTTTGTGGCACAGCAGGACCCGCAGCGGGACCCCCGGGCTGCAGGGCAGGGAGCGCAGCAAGGGGCTCGATTTCGCTGCTCACGAACTGCCCCGTGAGAAAACAGCCCCGCCGAACGCCCAGCCTCGGGCGCGCCAGGCACCCAAAAGGGCGAAAACTGCATTATATAAATCACCCAGCTCATTGTGCTTGTGACGAGCCCCACGCTCACCGAGCCCCACGGGCACACGAACAACAAGGGTCGCACGGAACTGCGAGGGGCTTCACCGCAACGTAAATACCACACTACCCTGCAAGGGGGACGCGGTGTGTAATCCACAGTCCACGCAGGAAGCCGCAAAAGGCAGCAATCGTTTGTTTCGCACAGACGCCGCCTCGCAGCGGCACCGAGACGCTTTTCCGCGTCCTCCCTTCCCAGACCGCCGCGCCCGGCCCGCGGCCGCTCACCTGCTGGTCGCACTCCGGGCAGGACTTGGTGGCCATCTTCACTTTCTTGGCCCTACTGGAGGACATGCTCGCTGCTGCCGCGGCTGTGACTGACACTGCCCGGGCCGGAGCGCCGCCCGCCCGGGAGGAGCCGGCGGTGGGAGCGGGAGGAGGAGCGGCGGGAGAGGGCGGAGGGAGGAGCGGGGAGGGCCTTTATCAGGTCCGCGCGCCCCCTCACGGCCATCGACAAAGGGCTGTTCTTGGCCGAGGGGATGAGGGAGCCCTGGGGATGATTGAGGATGAGAGGAGCCTGGGGATGATTGAGGATGAGAGGAGCCTGGGGATGATTGAGGATGAGAGGAGCCTGACTGAAATGTACGGGCTGTCAGGAAGCGTCAAACACAGATTTTCTGGTCTTCATCCCACTTCGGCAAAATAAAGACTGGAGTGGAGAGTAATGGTTATCGCCGGCTGGTTCCAGAGTCGGGGTGTTCAGTCATGCATCTAAGCCTGGTTATGCTTGCAAATGCGATGATTTTAGAGCAAAATATTATCAGGACCAGAGCAACACGAACTGCACGAGGCCTCTGCTATCTCAGCAGGGTCTGAATTTTTGAGGGGTGAACTGCATTCATTCAGTCCTTCAGATTCTCAGTTTGGCATGCCAGCCCTCTCCACCCTTACTACCAGTACTGTATGATGAATAAAGAATCAAACATCATTTGCAATATCCTCTCCTGTGCCAGCACAACCTGTTGATTTTTTCGATCATTCCTCCTCCATCAGTCTCTACCTTGAGCCTTGTTCCCATACAGGGAATGAGAATATACTGTTCTGCACTTGAGAGCGTCTCAGTCTCCCCGTGTGTGTGGTGGTTTCTGTCTGTGTACACAGTTACTAAACTGGCTCACTTGCCCTTTTCCTTTTCTCCTTAGTATTTAAAGTTATGACTCAGAGACTGTATTTGTTTCCCTGTTCTCTCTGTGTGTTGTTTCCAGCCCATACCAATCCATCGGCATAGGTCTTTCTCCAGAGATACACAAAGACAAGACAAGTTTATTTTCCATATAAACTGTAACTGCTGCCAAAAGGACAAATGTGTTCCATGTAGGCAGGACATTCAGATTTCATTCCTGAATCCAGAACAAGTCCATGCAAACAGGACCTTGAGACTACTTTGGGATTTTTGGATTTTTTCTTTTTTTTTTTTTTTTTTTTTTTAACTGAGAAGCTCTAGACATAGCAAAACATAGAAAGGTGTTTTAGGGGAATTTATAACAGCAGGGGGCTCTGCTGGGTATAGTAACAGTGTCCAGTAAATAAATTAATGAATATACAGGAGAGGTCACAGAGATCTATGACAACACCTTGCTTTTCTTTGTGCAGCAAATAAAGTAGTCAGGGACAGCTGTTCAGCTATTCCAATACAAAGAAAAATATTTTCCTTGTTGGACGCAAACAAGATAGTATTCGTAGCTAGACAACTGATTATTAAGATTTTCCAAACAGATAAATATTTTTCTGGTTATTCTAATTTATTAACACATTTGAGTTTTGAAAGTCCAAGACTATTTTCTTTTACATAATTTCAGAGGTTTAATCCAGTACTGAGATAAAAACAGCAAATACATTTTTTAAGGGTGCAGGTACCTCCCCTCTTAAGAGAGTCAATGGGTGGCACTTTGCAAGACTAAATCTCATTTAAAAAGTGTTTTACACCAATTTAAAATAGAAAATAAGAAACTTATGCCATTTCTCTATTTTATGAAAAGCTATACATGACTTTGTAAGTGCCTGATGGCTGCTTTTCTTTGCTGTTGTCACCACAGGGTCCAGCTGAGCTGAATGGTCTGAGGTCTTAGGGCTCTTTCCCGGTTCACTGGAGTGCAGGGCACACACCTGCCACATCAGCTTCCTGCACACTGCAGAATTTTGTTGTGCAACTCTAATTTTACAAGAGAGAAAAAATCCCCAAATCGGTAAAATTCACATATCTAATCCACCTTACACGGGCAGAAGAAGTCCTTCCTAAGTTACATTTCTGATCACCCCTCCAGGCCATTCAGAAGGATCCCACTCTCCTGCTTCAGTGTCCCCTGGGAGGGCTGGCAGCCTCCCTGCCAAAGTGCTGACAACAGGCAGCAAACGGAGAAATGAAATTCCTAACGTGCTGTGCAACCTCGTGTCACAAAGGTTATAAACCACTTCCCAGTTAAGTAACAACTTCCCAGTTAGTCAGCTATGTTCAGGGTGGTTTTACCCTTTCCACAGACAAAGCACTATCTGGAGAATTCTTAAGTTATATCTAAAATACGAGAGTAGAATGTATGAGAGGAAAATTACAAATAATAGGAAGAGCTAGATGATAATATTTGCAGTGTGACAGTATTCAACTGATAAGAAGAAAATACTATATGAAAATGAAGTCGCTATACAGACAAGCTTTAATACTATTTCCTGTGATTCTGGTTTTGACAATTTTGGTAATCACAATAGTTTATAATGCTTAGTAATGTTACTGTGCTTCTCATCAGTAGATTTCATAGTAGTTGTAATCTGAGTACCCTCTGAGTCCTTTCAGAGGGAATCAAACTTGTGCCTAACAAGTCCTTTGAGATCCCATTACTCTAAATCTGGGCAAGAACAACGTTTAAGCGATACAAATGTTGGCTTTGTTCTCCAAGTATGGCTGAATATTGAGTGTTTCCTAGTTACAAAGTGTTTTTTAATTTATAGTGTTGTTGTACATTGATGCCTTTTGGTTTCAGGAAGCCACGTTCAGGCTGCCTTCCTGTCCCAGCTCAGTCTGGCACATCAGAGCTTGCCTGAGGAAAAAGGACCATGGCCCCAGTGTAAGAAAGTACTTCCACCAACACAGTGTAGCTGCTGGATATCTCACACAGCTACTGCAGGTCATGAGCCAGCTCAAGGTCTCACTGCATCACCAGCTCAGGGGCAATCAGGGCCCACTCGTGCAGTGAGTCACTGCAGCACTTCCCCACATCTGCAACTGGAAGTCAGCATGACCTGACCACCTCAGCCCATTAGACAGAGCCTAATCAAAGCCAAGCCCACTTCAGTAAACAACACTTGACAATTTTTAAGAAGTCATATTTTTTTCTATATCTTTACTGTGCTTCTTTTTGTAATCAGAAAGAAACATTTTATTTTCTATCTCCTGAGTTTTAGTAATGAGGGAAAAAAATTCCTTGAACTTTTCCATTCAACTGCTTGGTTTTAGTTGATTCTTAAAGCAAACGTGGCCAATACAATGACCTTTTCCATATAATTTATAATAATGAGCTGCACGTCACTTAAACCCTCTAGGGGTAAACACTTGCTGAGAAGATCCTCCTCTAGTAAAGCTGAAGCACAGCCTACACAATGAGTCTTATGGCCCAGGTCAACAGTGGTTTTTAGAAAGGATTTATTTCCTTTTTGCAGCAAGTCAGCTTCAGATGGGATTTTAAAGAGAAGTTTTTAATAAAATATCTATAATTTCTATAATGCCAGTAGCAGTTAACATTCTACTAAAAAAAAAAAAAAAAAAAAAAAAAAAAAAAAAAAAAAAAAAAAAAAAAAAAAAAAAAAAAAAAAAAAAAAAAAAAAAAAAAAAAAAAAAAAAAAAAAAAAAAAAAAAAAAAAAAAAAAAAAAAAAGAGGCATCCCACATTTTATTCTCATATATCAGGCCTTCTTCATGGGAAAATTTATCAAGATCCACATTATTCAGAACAGCTCAGTTTCAACAAAATAATGCAATTTCACCAAAAACCTCACATTACCTTCCTGGAGAACTTTTTCAATTAATTCTTATGAAGACGTTTCAATAGACTATTTTACACATTCCATTTGAGTTCAGTTTTTGGGTAGGAGGTTGAGCTTTTTTCTTTTCTTGGCTTATCATGAGATAATGAGAGCTGTTAAACATTAAGGTATGAAGTTACTGAACTGGCACTTTTTTCACAGACTGAGTTGAACTTTGGACCAGATCTTTAAGATTTATACACATTTTGAAGAACAGAAGCCACAGTAATTTCTCTGAAGATGCTCCTTATACTCTGAACTGCTATCATGGGCAGTATGCCACAGGAAACAACCATCCTTTATACTTGCACAACACAGAATTAAAAAAGCTTTGCTCTTTTTGGCCAACTGAATGTACTTTTTATAATGTGGTTCCCATCTGCTTAGTGTCCTCACAGATTCCTCAATATCATTAACAATGCTTTGGCATTTTAAGAGCAGTTTTCTATCCAGTGTCTTTACTTAAATGAAACAGCAGGAAAAAAAATGAATGCTTAGTTACCATGTGCCATTATTGTAATTATGGGGTTTAAACCACGCAGCTGTCGATGGAAAGCAGCTTGTTGAAGGTTTGTCAAAATGGAAACATGACAGCAGCTGTTATTCTGTTTATCATGTTTTTTTCTCCTACACTCTCTCTACCTTTGTATGTATTTATGCATTTGCTGCTATGTACCTCTAGCTTGTCACCATCAACATGAAATTCATTATTTTAGCTTCTTATAACTGCAAGAAAACCATCCCATGTCTTTATGACTAAAGATGGAATGCAAAATGGAGATCAAGGAACTGCCCTTGGGAAGCAGTACTGTCCACCTTCCATATCTGACTTGTCTGAAACTTGTGCTCATGTGATTTGCATAGAACACATGAACTGCTGATCTGTCAAACCGAGCACCACAGGCCAACTTGCAGAAGCAAACAGCCTCTCTGAAGGGCACATCTGAGCCCGTGTTTGTGTGTGTTATCTGCGGTTCAAGCCGGGGGCAGGGGGAGAGAGAAAGGAAGATTTCCATAAGGAAATACAAAAAGATACTTCATCTTTAATAGGTCATTGCACAAGATTTTAACAAAAGTTCACTGACTAATTTCACAGCTCACAAGGGAAGTTTTCTTTTCCTCATACGATACATAGACATGCCAAGCACCAATAAGTCAGAGTGGCATTCACAAAACCAGTGACATTGACCCTGGAGCAGAATCCCAACTCTCCTGAAGTCACCAGGAGCTTTGTTGTTAACTTCAAAATGCAGTGATTTAAGAACAACTCTGCCTCAACATTGCAAGTGCATCATAAACTATTTACTTTCAGGAAAGCATCTGTATTAAAATAACAAGTGAAGATACATTTATCATGAGTAAAGGTACTTCTCTATAACACGAACACCACTCCCTATTGCATTTGACATGGAAAGGGTTTGTTTCATCCTATGTCTTTTCTGTGTGCATTTCTAAACTTAGGAAACTAATCAGACCATTGAATATCAGCTTTGTTTGTGTTCATTTCAACGTTTCACTAAGAACGCTTGTTTTGAGTTGTGCAACACACGTTTGAAGGTGTTCAGCCTCACTCCACCACTGCGGGGCTGTTACACACTAACCAGCAGCGTCACAGAACTTGCCAGCAAGGGCTGAGGTCCTGCTTGGATTGTCCCTGGAGGCAGAACCGGAGATGTCCTGCAGTTTGTACCTTTACTAGTGGAGGGTCAATTGGAGATAGGGTGGCAGTGCTGGCTGGACACTTTCTGCCACGCCACCTGTTTGTGGGGGGTGGATTGGGGGTGGAGCAGCATGTGGGCCAACAGCAAAGGTTAATGTGTGCTCTTCCCCCTGCAAAATTAGTGGTTCCAAATCCATTGAACTTTGATTTTTAATAGCCTGGGTAGCATTTCAACCTTGATTTCTAATGAACCATGAAACACACTTGATTTAAGATATCTGGGAAGTCTGAATATAAATATTAGAATTTAAAATAATTTGAATATTTCAGATAATCTGATTAAAGCTTAATATAAAACCAGATCTGCCTTTGGTTTTGTGGTAAATTCAACCTTGACATGTCTTACCACTGTTTGTAATATTTTCTTCTGAACTGCTTTTTATCAAACCTGGAGAAAAAGCAACTGTTTGTTAATTACCAAAATGCCAAATTCAGAGAACACTCAGCTTTCTAGATACACAGCTGATTACCACTTTAGAAGCAAAGTGCCGAAACACAGAGGCTCCAAAATTTGACATTTCAAAAGTTAAAAATCTTTAAAATATGGAAAAAAATCCAGTCTGAGGGTGATGCAGACTGCAATGCCCTGAAACAGCTACTGCAGCTGCAAATAAACAAGAGTGGACTTCTTGGAACTTGAATTTCTAACATAGAGTCCTCTATTGGCTCATTTTGTGGGCAGAATTTTGGAGGGAGGACAAGCAGGGCCAGAAACACTCCACATGGCCTTCACAAGCTGAACAGTAAACAAGTAAAAGCTTTTAGTACAATCAGTCCAATAACTGGAAATACAAAACAAATGAGTTTTCTACACCACCTCAAGAGTGTTGCTTCAGCACAAAAAATATCTAATCTCTGTTACTTTATTAACTAAGTATTGACCAAAATTTTTCAAGGAGCAGTTATTTTTAAATTAGCACAGAGCAAGTGCTAAAATAGTGCACTTGAAATAGAATAAAGATTGGAGCAAATTAATTATGAAACTAAACACTATGGCAAGCAGAAGTTTGTTAAAAAGAAGAAATACTAAAGAGAGGAAAAAAGGCTTAAGACAAAATTGTATGGGATGAAAGAAAATCAAACACAGCAAAAGCAACCTCCTTGCTCTTCATCAACTGAGGGAAGATACCAAAACTACAGAACAAAACCCAAGTCTCAAAACATCTAATTTAGGCACCTAAAATTAGGAATCTGGTTTTTTATATTCTCTCTCAGTCAGTAGAGAAAGTAAAAAGAAGGTTCTAAAAAACAATTCACAAATAAGGCTGATTTACAGCCCAGGCTCTTACTCAGGGAGGTAACATTAGGTCATAGGAATATTCCTGACTGAAAGATCCCTTATTCCACTCTCTGAGCACAAACAAGGAGTCTCTTCTGGACACCCAGGACGAGTTAAAAGGGCCTTCTCCTCCTCATGGGCAGCAAGAGGGAGAGAGAATTTACCTCTCTCCCCTGAATCCTGCTGCTGTTGTATTTTGTGGCAGATCTCCAGTCATTTGCTATGAAAGCTAAACTGAGCCCGAGAGATAAAAACATTTTCATCATCTGGAAACAATGAGGAAACTGTGAGAGAGGACCGACTTGTTTCTGCGGGAGGGAAGGAGCAGGAGCGAATGCTGTCCTGGCATAGCGACAGCGTGAGGGATGAGGCTGCTGGCGCTCGCCCAGCCCCTCTCCCTGCCCGATCCCTGCTCCTCGCTTGCTATTCCAGCAGCCCCGCAACAGGTGACCGTGACCCTCCAGCAGACCCCACCGCGCTGCATTCCTGATGCTGTGCGAGGCTGGGCGATGAGCGCAAGCGGCTTTCCCCCCCACGGACAGATGAGAATCAGCGCGGGCAATGTTAGGACTGTTCACACCGCAGAGCAGAGAAGCGCACCCAGACAAAGGCAGCGCTCCCTGCACGGGCGGGCGGCGACACCGCGGGGGCCGAGGGGCAGCGCCGCGCCCCTCGCACGCCGGGGATGCGGGATGACCTGGCTTTGCCTCTCGCTCAGGGAAACCCACTGGACTTGCCCCCGCCCAGGCTCCCGCGGCATCTCCAGCGGCGGGAGCGCGCCCCGCCCGCGGGCGGCGGGGACAATGCGGGCCGGGCCAGGGAGGCCGCTGGGTGCGGTAGTTCCCTGCCCATCACCTGATGCCTGGGCAAGCGCAGCCGAGGCAGCCGGGACTACAAACCCCGCCAGGCAGCGCGCCCGGCAGCACGGCTGGTGCAATCACACCTTAGCACGCCCCGGGGCCGGGGCAGGCGTCGGCTGGGAAAAGGATGGTTTTAGCTGGGACTCTTGCAGAGCAGTAGCTCGGGGACTTCTGTCGGGGACGGGAGGGATTGCGGCGCTGTTCGGATGCAATGGTGGGACCTATTGCTCTCGCGGTGGCATCGCAACACTGCAAGATCGGTTGTATCCATTGCAATTAAGTTTGCGGGATCTGGACATGAGAGGACCTAGCGTGGACGTGTAACTGTGCCAGCTCTTCGACGTTTCTTCTGACTGCACCTCCTGCTCGTGTGCCTCCTTCCCAGCGCCTGGTTCCGACCGCGGAACACACCGATCCTCAGCGCTCGCATCCTGAGTCTCTCTTTGGGGAGTACCCGGAGGACCATGTATCGGTTTGCCTTGGTTGCCAGGCAAGCTGGGGCCCCCCTGTGCGGCCGCGGGCCGGGGGGCAGCCGGGGCGGAGGGTCGGACACGGCCCTGCTCGGCGCCGCTTCGGTGGCGGCGGGGCGGCAGCCGCGGGGACCCCGCCGGGACAGCACCGTGCGCTGGAGCAGCGCTGCCAAGGCCTCCGCCGTGAACATCAACGAGAAGGCGAGCAGGGAGAAGATCCTCACGCTGGAGTCCATGAACCCGCTAGTGAAGGCGGTGGAATATGCGGTGCGGGGCCCTATCGTCCTGAAAGCCGGGGAGATCGAGAAGGAGCTGCGGAAGGTGAGGCGGGGCAGGGCAGGGCAGGCAGTGCGCGCTCCCCGCAGCCCACACCGGCCCTGCCCCGGGGCACCTCTGGGGGCTCGGCAGAGCCGGCGCTGGGGCCGGCGGGGACGCCTTGACACCCCGCGGGGGCTGATGCGCGACCCTGTGGAAGCCTCGGGAAAGCGGGAGGCACCGCTGCAGTGCCTCCTCCTTCCAAGTTAAAGACTCGGGACCACGGGCAGCCTTTCCTCCCATCCCTCTTTGCCCCCTCGCGCTCTCCTCTTCCCGGCCCCGCTCGCTCCGCTGCGGGCACTCCCCGCACCCGCGCCCCTACCCACGGGGGGCGGGAGAGGCACAAAACAAAAGAACCCGCTGTCCGGCTACTGTTTATCAGTGTCACTGCCTGCGTAAGGCAAATAGAGCAGTGTTTACATTTCTTCGGCCACTTTGACCCTTTGCTGCAATCCCGCGTCCTTTGTGTTATACAAGGGGGTGACTGACCAGCTTTCGTCATACTGATAGAGCGTTTGAGTCGTTCGTGAGGATTTTAGAGATACTGCCTTGGCCGGGGCAGGGAAACGCCTTTGAAACCCCTAACAGGTGAGATGGACCCGGCTGTCCCGGGCACTGCTCCGCAGCCTCATCCAGCACTGCCCTGGGCTGCCCAGACTCGGAGGGTTGAAGGCTTCCTGAGACCACCGACACTGTGCTCCGCTGTTATTAATTGCAGAAGTCTGAGGTGCTTGAGGACAAGCCTTCCGAGCACAAACACTCAGTAGCACTGCCCGAAGTTTTTGGTGGTTGGTGCTGTTAGGAGGATCGGAAAATAAAGCAAGATAAAAGATACTCCTAAGGGTCTGGGCCAAAATGTACTAAATAAGGTATCCAAATCAGTCAATGCTTACGTTTGGTTCTTCATATTTTTTTTTTTCATATTCCTTAAGACTTAGTATTGGGAAAAAAAAAAAAAAAGAAACCCTTAGTAATACAGACATGGCTTTTTGCTTCTACTATTCAAACCACAGCTTCCCCTCCCAGCACAAGGACTCATTTTTGTTTTGAGTGAAGCATCTGGCAGAGTTACTTTTCTTTAATTTCAAATATTTTTCCCTGCCTTCACTACTTTAGAAAGTCTTGCTAATATGTTATTACAAGTACTGCAAGGCTGTTTTGATCAGTACATGAAAGGTGCTTTGACAAAAAAGTGCCATAGGAATTCTAATTGTAAGAGATTATTTTAATTCTCTGGTCTTTGTGTTACTTGGTTCCCCTTGCTTTAGAAGGTGAAGCATATTTTTAGCTCACTGTAGTATACACATCAGTTATGTATGTCTACTGAATAATTATTAAAAACAGCTTTCTAAAAAAAAATTTACTTAAAAACTTTAGAATGGTGATGGGGAATTAATTTCAGAACATCTGTTTTGATTTTTGCCTTAAAACTTGTTTATAAAGGTGTCATCGCGTTTATGCAACAAAGTTTCCTAGTGAGTGCCTTTTCCAGATTATAAAATCTTCCAGTGTTCTCACCAAGTATGTTTGTTTTAAAGTTAATATCACAGGGCAGGAGGTATTACTTGACAAAACAAATATAAAATGATCCTCACAAACTCCTCCCTACCCCCTGCTTACTCCAGTTACCAGCTGAGTCACTGACAGAGAGAATAACCTTCTGTACACTTTTGAAAAAATATAGGAGGAAGTCATTGCCAATGGCTTTATTAAAAGATTGCTATGTCAGTTTTGTGCCTACTTACATGGCATTTTCCATTTGAAAGTGTTTGTCTGGAACCAGTGTCATGAATAGTGTTAGCCACTGATGATGGCTACTAGCATTCCGAGAGGTGACTATTCTCTAAGATGACTAAAGCAAGCAAACCTCCCAGTTGGCAGGGAAAGAGGACAGAATTACTGCAAAAGTTGAGACAGTGTATCTGCAGAAAACATTAATCAACTTAAGGAAGCAGCTGAAAGACTTTACTTCCTTTCAAACTTCTCAAGTTATTTATTCCTCTTTACCTTCCTGATAAAAATACTGTTACTCCTTCTATTGTTTAACCAAGCTATCTGCTAAAGTGTACAGTGTTGAGTAGTAACAAAATATTATAGGTTATCTAAGTGCCTATTTTTTGTGTGCGTGTCTGAAATTAATTTCTGTGTGATCACAGGTCAATGGCTCTTCTTTGTTTACTTTTGACTAAAACTGGACAGTTACTTTTTTCATCCCTCTCAGTCTTAGCTCTCAGAGTTAGGTCAACCCCTGCCAGCAGAATTAACAGTGCCAGATAGAGGCTGATGAGGCTGTCAGAGAAAGGTGATGCCCCACAGCAGCTCTAGATCCAAAACTACTCTTCATTGACAGCAAAAGTTGCCCCATAGCAACTGTAACACGTCTGACGGGGAAGGAGCTTTGCCCAGTACGAGGTGGAAGTGCTGCACTGGTTGGGGTATCAAGAACAGGCAGAGGTGAAGCAATGACAGCCAATCTGCGTTTATCCCGTCCTGCTGGGATACCTTTAGTCTGAACTAAAAGCCCCTTAAATGCAGCCATTGTCTAATCAGATGTGATAGAGGCTCTCCCTCTTTAAACTTGGTTCAGTTCAGTTGCACTTCATACTTGCATAACTTATACAGCTTGTTACGTAGACTATAAAATAGGTACTTGGAGCTGTTTGCACAGTGTAAACTTTCATCTTCTTTGAGTTTTGTCCTGCTGTCTCAGATCCTGAATACAACTGCCTCTGTTATTCTATCTGGCACTTACTGCTTTTGTATATTAACTCAAATGATTACAATATGAGATGTAACTCCACACACAGAAATAAGAACTAAAATGTTACTTGAGACATCCCTGAATAGGCAACTGAAGGGCTAGCTCTTGAAAAAGTAAATAAAAATGAGGCATTAGTTTTAGCTCGTGTGCTTGGGACTAAGCCAGTGAAAGTGGCAAGAAGAATACTCTGTTAAAGCAGAATAAGATTGATTGCTTTGGAGTACAGGTGGGGCACGTTGTACCTGGACTTCACAAGTTTTGTTGGCTTGTGACCTGTATTCATCTAGGTGGAAAATCAATCTTTTGATATACATTAAGTCTTTTGAGATAGAAATCTTTATGCAAAATCATTGACTTAATTCCCTGAATTTTTTTTTTTTTTGTAGTTTTGGTATTGTGTCATGCTTCGAAAGTGAAAACATGTTTTTTCTTCCTCTTTGCTAATGATATTATTCAGCTGATTCTGGCTTACTAAGATGACACAGAAAGAACTGACTTCAACCAATTTCCTCGGTATTTCTGGGGAACTTTTTAAAGCAAGCTAGAGCACAGACATATTTTAATAAATGATTACACTCTCAATAGAACACAAACAATACCTTGTTTTGCTATCCCCTTTGTGTAGACTTGCTAACAGATGGCCACCATATCAAGTATAACTTTAATTGCATTTCAGATAGAAAATTGATCCTGAACATGAATTCAATGCAAGAATAATGTAATCTCTGGACAGAGGCCTTCTCTTTACTTAATCAGTAATAACAAGCTAGCTTTATCTTTACCCAGGCAGCACACATACCTGATTTATTACTTTGCATTCACGCTAATTTTAACTGACCTTGTTATGAAAGTCCCTTCGTATCTGTTCCTCTGACATTTTACTTATACTCTCCTTTTTTCTCCCAGTTCCTGATTGGGTTTTACATAATGCTGAGTTCTATGTCAGGTTGAGTTGACTTACTTGCAAAGCGTGTGCATATTAAACAGCGTTTCAGGATCCACAAGTCAGCTCATGAAACACTGGAAGCAAGAAGTGCCTGGCTCCATATAAGTCACACGACACGATGTTCTTCTTCAGAGTTTTCAAGTTACTGAAACAGAATTGTAGGGCAGAAGGGGGTAGAGGGATGGTGTACAGGGATACATTGGTAGCATGCAGAAAGTTCCTTCAGACCAGCACAGGTGGTTACCATATCCCACCCCTGGACCTGGAACAGTGGGCCTTCAATGGCAATACGCATTGGAACCCTTATTTTTGTGAACAGCCACAGCAGTCTGGCTTACTTTTACAGTAACAGGGTTGTACACTCATCTCCTGTGCCCACGCTTTTCATTTGCATAAGTATTGCAAATAAGTTGCTGTTGCATGTTTGTTCAAGTCACTGGTTCACTCCCTATATTTCTATTTAGATAATAAAAGTACCAAAATCCTTCTGCTTATGTAGGTGTAACCTCAGGCAGCTTCTGCTGAAGTATTTTTATTAAAAGACTGTAGAGCTTTTATTTTTTTTCCTTTTCTTTCCTTTTTTTTTTTTTTTTTTTAAACACTAATTCATCAGGCTTTGAAACTGAATAGAAAAAGTCTGTCTTAGAATCCAACCTAAATTGTAAATGTGAGTTGACTGTGTCCCTGGGAGTTGTGGAAAGATAAAACACAGTTTAGGCAATGACATGCAGAAATATAATTTGACATGCCAAGAAAAAGATAAAAGATTGACTGGTACACCCAGTAATGAAAGATGTTAAGCTTAAATTACCATCCTATAATTTTCTGCTTTGAATACGTGACTGTGTGCACACTAAGGCAGTGTCTTCCAGGCAAGAGCATTTGACCTCATTAAGACAGAGTGGTTGTTCCTCAGTTGTCTGTACATGTTGCATACATAAGTGAATCTGTAGTAAACCCCATGTTTTTTAACAGGGTGAAAATTGCTGCAGATGAAGACGAAAAAAAAAAGAGTTTTAAGAGTACGATTACCAAAATCATGTGTTCAGAAACACACAGCACACAAGATCCAGTTATTTGATCTTTTCTTATTGAATACAGTAGCAAAATCTATTCCAAAACAGCCCTTTTCCAATAGATCTTCAAGTTAAGAGAGTCCTAATGTCTAATCACTTTCTAATGAGTATTATTTCAATTCTGTCATTTGCAACCGCATTGAAATCTAGGGCTTTATTCATATAGGCTAAATTTCTGAATGCAAACGCACTTTGACCAATGTGTAAGGCAAAAATAACTCGAGGATAAGTTCTGTTCTGTGATCTGTCTATCAGATCTGCCAGTAAATGGTCAGCCCCACCGATTTGCTCATGTGATATGAGGGGACATGCAAGCCATCACTGCCATTTCCAGTCAAAATCCAGAATTTGCCTTCTCCTTCCTTCCAAAAACAGCTCATGTCAGCTTGAATTACACATGTATAATACAAACTGAAAGCCTTTCTCTGTGGTAAGCAGGTCAGGTTTATTTTTCTGCTGTGAGTTGTTTTAATAAAAAGATTGGAACGCTAATACAGGTCTTTGGGTCCCTATTAGTTAAGGGCCTCTGGGCAGGGCTTTCTTGGCCCTTTGAGAGGAGGAGAAAAAAAAAGGAAGCAAGCAACTTGGCTACTACAGCATAGATCTCAACTGTGCTGAGAAGTTTGGGTTTGCCAGCTCTCCTATTGTACAGCTTGTTTGTGCAAGTCACAGCAAAACCAGGCTCAAGGAAATAGTACAATGTTTCATAGTGTGATGTTATTGCCTGATAATCATCACGAGGAGACACAAAGCAATGGAAATGGAAGTGAAACAATTGGGAGCAGCCAGGAGTGGACTAATTCTGAAATTCAGAAATAATTGAAATACCATGCTGCTCTTTTGGGATTAAAAACAGCTCACATTTTCATGTGAGCTCCTCCAGGGAGCTCTTTTAAATCCTTTCCTGTTGCCATTACCAAATCCACACATGCTTCTCTCCAGACTGAGGGGTTTCCTTTGAAATTTGCTGAGGACTTAAGCGAGGACAGCGTTAGGTCAGCTTGCACCCTTCGTCACTCTTTCTGAGAACACCAGTTTGCCAACATTCTGAGATGGTGCCATTGCAAAGGGAACCTCCAGGCAGACTAAACCTCCTGGGAGAGCAAAGCAGCTCATGGCAGGGCATTGCCTTCACAGTCGTTCTGTGGGATAGTGCATGTTCTGGCCTCATGTTGTTTCTTTGATCAAGTAACTCTCCCAACACCTCTTGGTGCAGGTGACTCTCCTTGAGAGGCAGCTCATTGTTTGCACACTGTATTTATTCCTTGCCTGCTGGGGGTCTTGGGGCTGTGGGAATGTTTAGGGGAAGAGGAGGCTTCCCCAAACCTGGTTAACTACATGAAGATTTGTATTGACCCTGCACCAATGAATTCTGGTTCAGGTATAAAAATCCCTCCTCCCAACTTCTTGTAGTATTTAGAACACTGACACAGTTGTTAAAATAATTCTGTCTGACCTGCTTCAATTTTCAGATGTTTTTCATCTGGTCTCATAAAAGACAGCATTTCCTCTGAAAAGGGCAGAGTGACAGAGGTAACTAATTTCCAAAGAGCATATTCCAAATCCTGGAAGATTCCTTTATTCCATTAAAATACTTTCATTATCGAGAAGGGAGCAACTGAAAAAAGAAGGAACACATTTTTATATTTTCTGCTTTACATCAGAGAGTGAAAGATGGCTTCTGCAGCTTTAAAAATGGCTACTGCAATTAGTCTGTCTGCCAACAATGACAAAAGAATGGCAGGAGCCTGGCCTTGTTCCCCAGATGAAGCTGAATCACGTTGTAAGCACAGTGTGAGGTGCCGCCAGAGGCAGAAGTCTTTAACAGTGCTTGTTTTGTAGGTTTTTCTTCTAAATTCACGTGGTTCATACCCTCTTCAGTAGACATGAGTATCAGTCTGGTACTTACTGCTCCCGAGTTTGTTATTAGAGCTCTTGTTGTGCAAACTGCACTTTTCCAAAGCTTTGCCTTTTCCAATCCAGTCAGACTGTGTCTGGATCACACCTGAGAGCCTGCCTGCACTCAGGGAGGGGGAGAGGTGTGGTGAGGGCTGCACTCTATCCCCAGAGGAAAACAAAACAACTCCAATAACCCAGTGTCTGCTCCCCCTGTGTGTTCCTTGGTTTGCAGGGACATAAGTTGTCTCAGCACAGGTCTGTAGGTGACATGGTCAAAGACTGCTTAACCTTCTGCAGTGAAATAAATCTAACTAACTAGGTCCTGCTGCAGTCTTTTTCCTGCTGTTTTACAACCTGATGTTGAGGTTATCAGCATCACATTCATATTTCCTCCTTTCATACAGATGTTTTCATAGACCTTCCAAAAAGTATTTAGCATGACTCTTCCCTTGGATACCCGTACACCCCAGTGCCATCACCACAGGAGAAACCTTGACACAAGTAACCAGTGACTAATGCCAGTCTTTCGTAGGAATCTGTGTAGAATTCTACCTTGCAGTCATCTGCAGAGTCACAGGCACTGTCTAGACTTCCCTTGACACCAGCTTCTGATATCCTTGCTTTGAAACTTTGACCCATTAGCATTTGAGGCTTGTTACTATTTCCAGTTCCTCGTTTCTGAAATGCTAAGATGGGACTTTTTGTTCTAAAGAACTTCTTTAGAACTCCTTTAGAACTTCTTTAAGAACTTGTTTAGAACTTCTTGTTCTAAACTAAAATCGACAACTTCTGATATTCCTTCTTTCCCTAGAGAGATTGGAAATCAGTAGAAAAATACTTAGTGGTCATAGCAATTTGTGGATAGATTTCACTAGGAGGGATGTAGGGAATCTCATGAATACAGTTCTAAACAATTGCTGATATTTACTCATTGTCAGGCAAGGAAAAGGCTCAAGTTATTTAAAATCATCTCGCTTTTCTAAGACAAAAAGGGCAACAGCTCTTGAAGCTGAGGCCAAGAAGCACAAGTTAGTCAAGAGGACCAGGGGTTTTTAATGTGGGAACTGTGTGTACAGCACAGAAAACTGTTGTGTATGTTTTGCTTTTTTTTTCCAGATCAATCATTTTAGTAGCAAAGATAGTATGGGGTTCGTGGGGTTGGTGATGATTCTATACCTGCAGTGATGCCCACAGGCAATGATGGCTTAAACACTGAGTTTGGCACTAGTAGAGATCTGGATGGTATCAGTGCTAATAAACTACAATAAACCTGACACAGACACCAAAAAGATGATCTGTTATCTTTATCTGGCATCCCTATTCCTAATTTTTCATTTAGAGCTGAAATGCAACTCTTAATTTAGGGACTCAGATCAACAAGCATGAAAGCAAATGACTTGGTGGAGTCACTGTGTCACTTTCAATTATTTAAAATGAACTCTTTTTTTCAATTGCTGCTAAATTTAAGGCCATATAAAATTGACCCTTTTTGATCAGGATCATATAAGTCTACCTGTCTTGTTGTAATGCCATTTACAACTACCTATTCAATTTTAAAAGGAAAAAACCCCTATAGGTTATCAGTCACATGATGGAATGGATCTGTAGGGGGCATTTGAATCCCATTGTCACGTAACCTCTCAGACACATCATGCAGCCTTAAACCTCCAAATCCTGGAATACCTGGGAATCTGTGTCCCTGGTGACAACTTGTATTTTGGTTCTTGTTATCTTTTCACATCTGGGTTCTGATCTGTCACTGAGGTTCAACACATAATCCACCGTAGAAAAGCAAAAATTAGTTCAGGCTTGCCAGCCACAAATTCCATGTAACAATTCTGTCACTGCTAGAAGGCCTCCCTACTCTCTCTCAAATATACACCACAACAACTGTAAATTTATTTTTGTCATTTATTTTTCTTGTAATGTTGGCCTTAACTTTCAGATAATCATTTTTTATTTAAATCAGTAGTGTTTTTTTCTACCTGTCAGCTCTTTGCCTTTTTTCCCCTTATTTTATTTTACTATTTAAAGGGCTGTAATTGCTAATCAGCATTCATTAATGGCATTCCCTGTCTTCTCATAATGTATTCAGTTTCTCACAGGAAAAATGGCTGTCTATTCAGATTTCAGAGACTAGGAAGCTTGTAAATATTCATGGTGATTATTTAGCACTTCTGCTGTTTATCATACAGAGCCTCACTATGATATATTTTGTAAAACATCTCTACATGGAAAAGTGGGGTCCTGATACAATGAATATTTAGTCTAAATGAAAATAAATAAGCAAACAGTATGTTTACTGCTTTACTCTAAAAGGGCTAAAGATCTCAAGGCTTGTTTTGTGTGTGGTTTCTCAAATGTCCTCAAATCTTTTTAGTTTCTTCACTGATCCATCCCTCCCTTAGGTGTCTCTAAAGTTGCTCTCATACTGACAATTCAAAGTGCCTTTCTTTCATCTTTTCTACTTCAGCGTGTAGTTTTGAAGCAAGTCAGTCCCTTACTTGCAGCAAGCAGAAAAGTAAAAGGCAGCCTATAATTTAAAAATGTGTCACAGTCAACACAATTTCTGTGAACCATTTAAGATTTACTGGCACTATTGTATAAGATATGCATTAAGCTTTGCATTCAACACTGTATCTGCTCTGAGATTAGGCACTATATAGTTACAGTGTCTATATAGATATACATATATATATGTGTGTGTATATATGTGTGTGTGTATATATACATACGTATATATACATATTTATATACAGTGCCTATATATAGACAGATACCAAAAAAGAATCACCTACTTCAGTCCTAACAAAATATTCTGCATTCTCCCTTTCTAGGGAATCAAAAAACCTTTTACTGAAGTAATTAAAGCCAACATTGGAGATGCACATGCAATGGGACAGAGGCCCATCACCTTCCTCCGTCAGGTAAGACTATTATAAAATATTATTATTTATTTTTTACTAGAATGCCTTAAAAGCCATCTGATATGTGTATTGGTATAAATGATTCCCTAGGTGCAATTAGACTTTAAATGGTTCTTTTGTAAAGAATTACAAATTTTCATTTCTGAGCCAAAGGCCTATGCCTTGCTTGCTGATTGTCCTCTTTTAACAGAGTAGCTTTCCTTACTTCTTATATCATTCTCCATCCATACTTTCTTCTGCCATTTCTCTTATGTTATCAATCAGAACGTTCATTATCAATGATGTACCTGAAGACAGGAAGTGGTTGTCTTCAGAGAAAAAGCAAATGCCTTTCTTCACCTGACAGTATACTTTGAGATCTGCAGCAGTTGGGTGCAGGAGTTGTACTGTTGCTCATTTTGCACATTTTACCTCTGGACGAGTAAATTGGTGAGTTAACTTTTAGGAAAGACCACAACAGACTTCATATTTGTATATTATTCCTAAAACACAAGTAAGGTTAAAGCTTGTATTACACTGTTTACTGAGCATCCCTTACACACACCTGTAAAATCCTCAGGCTATAATAATGTAAATTCAGAGAGTTCCAGGACAAACTAAAGCTGTATCAAACTGGGGGTTACATTCCTTATTCTGCTAGGTCATGTTTCTACTTTTACTATGTTCTGTATCACCACTTCTTTTTTTAGTTAAATATTTCCCACAACTTCAAATTAGTAAGAACTGTAAGTTATTTTTGGAAAGGATTATTAGAACATGCAACCAGGACTTCGAAATTTGGTCATATTTCTCAGTTCAGCTTCATATGCAAACTCTTGACTTCTTGTCAATAAAGTGGGCTGGTAATATCCTCCACAAAGAGTGGAGGATAGAGCTGTTTAGAGATAAAATATGAATAATCAACTGTGCTTTACTGTGTTTGCACTGTGCTTAGCATCCTTGGACTCCAGTCTTCACGGTCTTTAATACAAATAGTTAATAGTTCTAGAATTCTGTTTATCAGCACAACTTGGAACCTGATAAGATTTCTTCATTTCTGTAAGCACTACCCTTAAAAAAACAGCTGCAAACTCTTCATCAATAACCTGTGTTTTAAATTAGCTGGTATTTGTGACCTTCATTTCCAAGGAAAGTTAACAGTGATATTACCAACTTAAAATAACCGTTGATAAAATGGCGAATTTACATTTTCTTGGCACTGCAGGTGGTGGCCCTGTGTACATACCCAAACCTGCTGGACAGCCCAAGTTTTCCAGAAGATGCCAAAAAGCGAGCCAGACGGATCTTGCAGGGATGTGGAGGAAACAGCTTAGGTAAGACTCTGTTTGAGATGCTCCTCTTGGTATTAGAAACAACAAAGGTAGTTTTGATAGCTGCAACAGTGAAATTTCTTAATCACATCTTATATGATTACAAGTCAAATGGGGAGGGCCTGGGACAGCCTAGTGGGGGAGGTTTGCAGGGTGGCTTATGGATAATCAGTGACTAATGGGGCAAATTTTTGATGTGGCTTATCACAGAAGGGTAGAGGGTGAGGGTTATACAGTTATGGAGCCCTCACCACAAAAACATCCAGGCATAACTAGAGAGAATGTTGAGCTTTTTTATACTAGGAAAGGGGCAGAGAGTACTTGTGAGGCTTTGTGCTGTTGTTATGGCATCTGTAAATCCCAGGCTCTGACAGCTGTGTCTCCTGCTAAGACTAGGTAGAGGTTTTTACAGTTCTGTCTTCTCTAGATGTTTCTCTGCCAAGGAGTTTGCCACCCCTGTAATGCTGGTATCAACATACAGTGTGTGTGCACCTCAGCTGATCCAGTTCACAGTCCTGTGTCTTAATTTTGAGCCATCAGTCCGAGTGTGTTGTCAGGTTATGAACTGGAGTATCAGAAGTTCAGGTATCCAGGTGATAATCCTCTGCAAAGGGAAATCTACACCACTGAAAGGTGGTGGTTTTTTACCTAGCTGAGAAAGTTTTAAGTGAATATGTCAAGGCCCTATTTCTCCAGGGTAAAATAACTCTTGAAAGAACTACAGAGCTCTGTTCTTTTCAGCCAGGGGTCCTACAAGATTACACCTGTAGTGTCATATAACTAAGTACAAACGTTGAATATTCAGTAGAGAGGAAATTGAAGAGACAATTCCTTTCTCATGTGGCAGCTGTACAGCCCACTTGTACCTGGCAAACACCACTAGAATTTCCACTCTGCAGATCCTGTTACAGCTGCTGGGTACAGCAAAGAGTCTGGCACACCTAATTACCTTATTTCAAGTAGGCAAACACTGACATTTCAAAGCACACATTACAGTAATTGGCATATTTCTTAATCCTTGTGATTGCAGTGCCTATTTGCACTGGCATATTTTGAGATTAGGTGCTTTGAAACTTAATAAAATAAGCAAGACCTAACCAGTGGTTACATTAGCAGTATTTCATCCTTGGACTATTCCTGACAACACAGGCTAGTACAGAATGCATTTTATCTTTGCCTTCTTTGTATCAGTTTTGTCTTTTAATATGGAACATTAAAAATACATTTATCAAGACTGAGAAGTTCCTCTAGCTCAATTCTTTTCCTGTCTTACTTTGGCACAATAAATCCACATATTACTGTTGGCATGTAGGAGTTAGTGGGGATGCATTTGAGATTTGACTCAGTCTTTCTTTGTAGTTATTCTCAAATTCATGGATGTGATGTGGTGTGAATTTTAAGAATGCTAAGTCTTGTCCCCTTGAGTGCTCCCTTCCCCTTAAGGGTGAGACCCCACAGCTCCATGTTGGAGTAAAATGAAAGGAATTCATCCTTGAATAATACTTCAGAAATAAGTTCCCTTTTCAGCACATCATGCATTTCCAACAATTTGCGTTAGCTTGGTAAATTCTGAGGAAGTAGACCTGAAACAGTTGCAATATTCAAATAAGATGATCATTCTGAACAAATGCTGTTAATTTCAGTGGATAGATTGAAATTCTGTAAGTAACTGGAGTCTAAATGTTTTTTTTTCTTGAAATGATACGTGCCAGGAACAACTGTGCCTCTAAATTCCTGAAAACTAAAACCACTGTATACCTCACTGATCTGCTGTACTGTTTTCTGCCTCCTCTCCACTCTCCCCTGTCTCCAGTATCGTGTATCAGCCCCTTCTCCTGGCCCCTGTAGCTCATCAGCCTCTGCACAGCACTCCTTAAACACACAGTCTGAGGCAAATGGACCTGCAGCTGAAAGGAAGCCACTGTGTTGGTAGTCTGACAGCTCACTGCTGTTGTTTTCTTGGCTGACAAGGAGAGATTGGCTTCCCTGGGAAAAATCAAAGGTCAAAACCTCATCCTTCTGTGTAGCTTTAAGTGCTCTGTTGTGTTCTAACAAAACCTTATTTTCAACAAATTTGTTGATCCAACACAAAAGTGGCTTCACTAGAAATGGTCATTTGAAGCGTTGCACCCACATCTAAACCAGCCTATTTAAATGCATTAATTGCAAAGTTAATGTGAATGTCTTGACCTGTGGGTATGAACTAGAATAACCCCACTTCTAGTGAATGTTCATTTGGCAAAATCCTAATCTTAGTACTGAGTCTTGCTACTCCCAGGCCATGTATGAAGGCTCAGCTATGTCCTCAACTTCTGTTGTGCCCAAACACTTTGGGATTCTATGGACATCACTTTGCATGTGGGATAACTGGCATTATCTTCCCAGGTATTTGAGAAATTTCCCCCTCTTCTCTGTACAAAAATACAGAGTTGGGTTTATTTATTTGCATCCCACAGTGCGAACACACCGGTTCTATCAAAGCTATTCACTGAGTACAGTTAAGTGCAGAAGTACAGGGCAATTAAGTGTTATATCCACAGAGTCACAGCACTCAATGAGCACAAGACAGAAAGACATCTTAGCTTTGCTCTCCTGCTTTACCAGCAGCCTCTGAGTTGTGGTCAAAGACCCATCTACAGACCCACAAGAACTTTTAGTCTTGTAAAAGTAAACATTAAGGACATCAGGGAACTTCATGCCCTGAATTATACTTTGCCCCATGCAATTGTGCAGTACTTGCAAAGCTTCTTTGTCTTTATAAATCATGGTTTCACAGAAGTGTTACCAGGCAGACTACTAGCATATAACTGAGAGATGAGAGTTAAGTCAGGCACAATTATTCCACTCCATCCAACAAGCAAAGAAGATCCTGCAGCTTCATGACAGTGTTCTAAAATAGATGTACACTTGTCACTTCATTGTCCATCAGTTTTAGGCTCCGTAGCTTGAGTCCATTCCTCACCTTGGCCTAGGCTTGTTTTTACTCTTTACTTCTTGCATGTACTCAGCAGTGATGCACACAGGTACCTAACATCTCATTTTATTTAAAATTATTAGTTGTGCTCTGTAAACTGCACATGAGATTGGGCTGATCCTAGGCATTTCTGCTCCAAGTAACTGAAAAGTGGTTGTGGGAGCTGCTGTGGGGGAAGGAGAGAAGCAGTGTAGGAATTTTTGGGTTTCAGACTGTGGGAAAAAATGGTATAATCTTATTTTCATATTGCAAATAAGCTCCTTATCTTTGTCATGGAATTGAAGAAGTTACTTTCCTTTCTACTGCACATACTACCTCCCTTCCTTGTTCCCATTACTTAAATGGGTGTTGGTTTACATTCAGAAACGATTTGACATAAAGAAAGCAACTGAAAGACAGTAGACATGGGATTGCTGTCCCAGTTTGCAAAGTAGCCTTTAAGTCATACTTTTTACCAATGTTATTTTTGTATTTTAGTGATACTGTATTTGTCTAATTCCAAGTTTATTCTTTTGCTCCCTTTCCTACTCCTTTGAAAAAAAAAAAAAAATCCAACCCATCTTGGTGATCCAAAGTGCTCATATATACAATCTAATCCTTACAATACTAGCTCAGGAGTTCTGTTAGCAAGCAGAAAACGTGATGTACATTGTACTCAATTCTCATCTTATTCTCTATTTTGCACAGGATCCTACACTGCCAGTCAAGGTATAAACTGTATCCGTGAAGATGTTGCTTCATATATTGAGAGAAGAGATGGAGGGGTTCCTGCAGACCCAGATAACATTTATCTCACCACTGGGGCAAGTGATGGGATTTCCGTAAGTGTTCTAATTAAACCTGTCCCTTCTTGGTACAAACTATAATTTATCAGTTACCCTTGGAAATACAGATCTCTGTTGAGCATCTGGTCTCACAAACTCTTGTGAGTTTGATCTGATGGATGCTGAAGTCACATTCAATGTGTAACCACTATGTGGATGTCACATGCCAGCGAGGGAGCAGGTGCGTCTCTTAATTTACATTAACTTGTTCCTTTCTGTAAAGATACTAGGAACTACACAGATGCCTAAACAGAAAATTTAGAACATTCAGACCTTTCAGAATAAATAATGATTGTCTTCAGTGGTTAAGATACAGAAGCACTGAAGAGTAGAGGGTATCAGTCAGCGGCAGAGAGAAGAGGGAATGACCTCAGATGTGAGAAGTCTCAACAACTTATTTTCCTAGAAAATTCTGCTAGTCCAGATCATTGCCAATGAAAATCCCAAAGATCTATTTTTATAACCGGCTTGTTTGGGAAAAAATTCAGTTGTCTTCAACCAAGGTTCAGAGATTGTCCTTTGTTAAGACAGGCATAATTGTCTCTATTACATTCTTCCTTTACACAGACACATTTACTGATACCAGCAGAACCACCAGCAGCTCTTGGCTTTTATTAAGGCAACCTTTCCTAACCCGTTGGTAGGAATGTTTTTAAATGACATCTAGTGGCAGAGCTCAGAATGGCAACGTTCTGACAGGAACAGCTCTCCAGATGCTGATAGTGATTTGGCTTTCCAGAGTTTATTATCCTGTCAGCTTGTAAGGAATGGCAGCACAGCACATCAAGTCTGTACCATGCTGATTTGATTTCACCAGTGATGACAAATCAGCACTACTATGAGCCCTGTTATTTAGCCCTTTCAAAAATAAAACAATTATTTTTTCATAGCTTGGAAAAAAAGAGGGTATTAAGCAATTTTAAAATATGCATTTGGTCCTGATTATATATTTTGAACGCATGATATTTTTAAGCATGGTTTTGGTCTCTTCTGTTACTTGAAAATGGAAACATGATGTGACTGCAGTTTTGTTCCCAGCTAGCCACAATTCCTCCTAATCTAAAACAGGTCTCTGTTCCAAAGGAGAATCTCCACAGAACACCAGTTCTAATTTCTGGATTTATTTATTGATCTCTTGTGGTTAGTGAGATAAAATAAATGGAAGGCAACAAGCAAGAACTAGCTGAGGCTTCTTTGCTTACAACTGGGCACAGCAAAAAAAATCTTCATCTTGATATTCCTGTTTCCAACTTTCCCTCTAGTGTTGTGCTCAGAATGTTTTTCCTAAATTTTGCAGTTGATCAGGCATGATCTCTGGAAGCCATGACATGCAGAGGAGTTCCATTAAACTGAGTTAGACTATCCTCACTCAGCCAGTAATAACCTGAAATAAATAAATGCCCTTTGATATGAGAAGATGATTGTATGCTTCTAGAACAGAAATCCACCTTAACTTCAGACTTTTTTAGGAAGGAGGATCAGTAACTACTATTAACTCTGGTGTGTGATACTTTTGTTTCTAATCCCTACTTTTTCCCCAGGCAATTTTAAAGATCCTGATCTCAGGAGGTGGAAAATCCCGAACAGGAGTGATGATTCCTATACCACAGTATCCCTTATATTCAGCAGCCATATCTGAGCTCGATGCTATCCAGGTGAACTACTATTTGGATGAAGAAAGATGCTGGGCTCTAGATGTGAATGAACTTCGCCGTGCCTTGAATGAAGCCAAGGCATATTGCAACCCAAAAGTCCTCTGCATCATCAACCCTGGAAATCCCACAGGTCTGGGAATTTTGCTTAATGGATGGGTTTTAAAACCATTTAAAAATTTTTTTTCATTTTTTTTGACATTGCAGGCAAATCCTAAATACACATCAAGTATGTAAAGCTGAATTTTAGAGTTAGTGCTCTAAATTGGACAGTATGTCAGATTTTCAGATACATTTTTTCAGTGTCATGGAACTCCAGAGAGGAGGGAGCAGGTTCACTTCACTGGATCCCTTCTGAAGCCACTGCTTCCCCTGAACTTTTGCAGACTTATGGAATGACTTTCAACCACTTCTGGTCTTTATGAAGGATCTTGCCTCTGGCATGGCCTGTAGCCTTTTGCTTCTGAGAGGCAATGGCTGTAGATTCTCCCTGAACTCAGTGGCAACCACCGCCTCCCTCAGAATTTAGGTTTTTGAGCAGTTGAGGTTGATTAGTGAGAAACTAGACCCCACTTAACCATCATGCCTGTGAGCATTTGAAATTGTAAGTTATACACAGAGTACTCTTAATAAGCCATTGATTGATTACTGCATCTCACACTTCCTTTGCTTGAGATGGACTAAGTTACCTTGAACCATAATTCCTCCAAAAATGTTTTTTAATTTCATACTTGGTGAACTGAATTCTGAAGTTCAAAAGCACTTTTCTGAGGAAGAGGGACATCTTGTTGAAAAGCTAGAAGTCTTGCTGGGTATTACTATGTGTGTATATATATATATATATGTATACACATGCTCCACTAACTTTCTTCTTGCTTTAAAAATCAATCTACAGGACAGGTGCAAAACAGAAAGTGCATTGAAGATGTGATACACTTTGCCTGGGAAGAGAAACTTTTTCTTCTGGCTGATGAGGTAATGGAATATTCTGTTCTCTCAAAAGCACAGCTGAGAGTATGAGGTATAATTTTGTTCCATGCATGGTATTGGTATTTTTTAAGTACAGGGAACAGATTCTCTGTTATCATATTAAGACATGAACAAACGTGCAAGATTCTTAGTATCAGAGGATCAGTATAATAGGTGGCTTGATCTGGATTTGAACTAGAGGAAAAGTGTAGGGGACACAAGGAGGAACTTTGCTGGAACTGACCTAAAAACCTGTGTGAAGCTGAGACCACTTCAAATGAAAGAAACAGAAGAAAAATCAATTTAAACATGCAAGTAAAGGTTAAATTGTATACAAAGAAGCTCAGTGTTCTTCCAAAGGCTGAACCTTTAACTATGGTCACATGATATAAAATATATCATGACAGTAACTATTACTTAATAAAGAACCTTGTGTCTTCTAACAGCTTTTAAGTTCCGAGTGTTACCACTGTTTCTTCAGTTCAGATCTGTCTCTCTAAAAGGCCAGGTTTTATCCTTAGTTGGGGGAACAGAGCACATTAATGTCTTCTGACTGTTCAGGTTTACCAGGACAATGTGTACTCTGAAGGATGCCAGTTCCATTCTTTCAAAAAGATTCTGTATGAGATGGGACCCGAGTACTATAACAATGTTGAGCTGGCCTCTTTTCACTCCACCTCTAAGGGATACATGGGCGAGTAAGTCTGATTTAGTTTTTTTTATTTCATCTTCCTCATTAATCTGGTTGGACAGGCCTTTCATGTTACTGACCTGAAGGTAATCCACCGTCTTCTATTAATTTTAACTAAAAACTATCAAGAAAAGAAAAAAAAAGCATTTAAAGCACAGAGTAACGGATTAACTCTGTGGTTTTCAAAGTACAAAATAATAAGCACATTTATTTCAGACACTTAGTGCCTCAGTTCCACAGAGGTGAAATCCTACAGTCCCAATCTGGACCTGTGATAATGGAAAACTGGTCTCCAACATTCAAGGAAACAGCTCAGTAATCTGTGGAATGTTTGATGTTGTAAATATTTGGGTTTGGTTGTTTTGGGGAGGAGGAGATGGAAGAAAAAGAATTTTGTGATGAAATGTGTGCTACTACAGCCATATGCTCCTGTTCTGGAGATTAAACAATCCGTGTTAATTGTTAACTCACCTTACAGGGAAGCTGCATGTACACCTTTATCTTTGCATGGGACACTAGGATCTAATGACATCCCATGTAGTTCCATTTTAAACCACTACCAGTATAGCAGCTGTTCCAACAGCCTGTATGTTACATACTGTAAGATTGTCATTAATTGTCTTTCCCCTTCTGCAGACACTTTCATTGCTTTCCCAGTATTTATACACTTGAGGTTGACCAATCTTTTCTGATCACTTTGTCGCAGATGTGGCTACAGAGGAGGTTACATGGAGGTGATTAACTTGCACCCAGAAATCAAAGAACAGCTTCTTAAGCTGCTTTCTGTTCGCCTTTGTCCCCCAGTCTCAGGACAAGCTGCAATGGATATTGTAGTGAATCCTCCAGTACCTGGAGAAGAATCTTATGCACAGTTCATAAAGGTCAGCAACAATGTTCTTTTATGCATTTCCTAAACATATCCTAGGTATTGGAAACTCAAAATATGCACAGGGACATATTTTCTTTCCTTTCTCCTCAGACAATCCTGTAATAAAACCAATTTACAGAACCATGCAGTGTATTTAAAATTAACTCTATATGACTACCTTGAAAAATACTAAGAAGACATTATCAAATCAGCTTTCTTGCTGATAAATTCAACTTTTCTCCTGTGTTTAATTTGACTAAATGAGATTTTCACTCAAATCCAAACAGGAATGTAAGTTCAAATACAGTTATAAAATCAGCCTTGTTCTTAGGTGTATCCAGTGCCTTTATATACTGAGCAACATGGTAATCTGTGTTACATCTGTAGACACAGTTTCTCACCTGTAAAAATGAAACTGAGTCTGGCTTAAGAAATTGCATTGTCAAGTCAGATCAAAGGTTCAGCTGATGTGGTCTCTAAAAACAGCCAAGGGTGGATGCTCAGAAAGAAGAATGGAAGAAGGCACACGGATAGAGAGACTCCTGTAGGTTATTGTCTGTCTGCAACACTTTGTAGCTGTATCCTGCTAATGCCTCTTTGCATTGCTGTCTTTAGGAGCACAACTGGAATTTGGAACATTGTTTGCTCTAATAGCTCAGCAAAGCCCTAAAAGTGTTTAATTTGGGGAAGGCCCCTTGAAGCATCATAGTTTCCTCTGGAGTTTTTATTGCCACTTCAAATATGTCCCACTGAACACCTCTCTTTTAAACAGGAGAAAGAGTCTGTTCTGAACAATCTTGCCGAAAAAGCCAAACTGACAGAAGACTTGCTTAACAAGATACCAGGACTTCACTGCAACCCTCTTCAGGGAGCTATGTATGCTTTCCCACGGATCTTTATTCCTTCCAAAGCCATTGAGAAAGCAAAGGTCAGTCAGTCACTTCTACCTCAATTAATTTTAACCTTCACTGGCCTGTGCCTGCCACTTCTAATGATGAATTTTTATTCCAGAGACAGAGTAAGCTCACACAGTTACAAAAGCAGTACTTCATAGACTATGTATGATCTTAAATATAACACAACCTTCATTTTATGAGAGGAAAACAAAGCAGGGCATTTCATCTCAGTGGTGAGGCTTTCAGAGTGAGAGTTGTTGTTCAAGGCATACAAGTAGCTGGACCTTTGCAATTCCAAATTGCTGCCCCTGCCTTGGTTAGGGAGGCAGTGGACTGGGAAAGGCAATGTGCTACTGACCCTGCAAAAGAAGCCCCACTCAGCAAGTCTGGGAAAGAGGGAGGTTTCCTTACAAATTTTACCTTTTTGCATTTGGATCAGTAACCTCTATAACTGAAAGGCAAGTCTTTCTGTTCCTGACTAGAGCCCTGATACCTAATGTGTAGTACTTGGTTTTTTAGAGGGAATTTTATCAGCACAGCTGAGAACAAAAATAGGGCTGTTTTTCAGCTGCTTATTTGATTAGGTGTATAACCTGCATTAATTTAAGAACTTTCTAATCAGCAGATAATTGGGGGGGGGGAATAGTAGCTGCCAACAGAACTGGAACACACAGTTCTCAAATAAATTTAATCTTATAAAATGTCAGTGCCTTAAATTTTTCTAAGTACAATTTTGAGACTTTTGACAAAAAGTTAAAAGCAAGTCAAGGAGAATAACAAAATTACTTAAAATCTTTCTTTTGAAGTGAGTGTTTTGTTTAGGTTCCTCAGCCCTGTTCCTTCATGAAGTACTGTTATTTAATTCACAGTGTGAACTTGTGAACTGTCCCTCACCTTCTTTAGTAAGCAGAATAAGAAACTACTAATGTAAGATAAGTTTTGGGGAAAAAGGAAGGAATAATGAAATTCTATGTATTTTGTATCTATATATTCTATAATAATTCCAAAGCATCCCTTCCCTTAGGCTCATAAAATGGCACCTGATATGTTCTACTGCATGAAACTTCTGGAAGAGACTGGAATATGTGTTGTACCTGGGAGTGGATTCGGCCAAAGAGAAGGAACCCACCATTTCAGGTACAGTTTCTGCTTGTTTAAAATCAAATTAATGGTAATAAGCAAAACACCATCCCAGTACTTTCTCTTCTGATTAAATATTAGGATTTTTATTTCAGTTTATGTTGTCTCACTTTAAACTGGACAGTTTCAGTGGACTGACAGCGAGGCCAAAGACCTGGTCTGCTAGATGAGCTGTCCAGGTTTTTGTGGTGTTTTCCCACATAATTTATTCTGTTTTTATGCACTGGCATTTGAAATACCTTCTCCAGGAATACAAGCAATAATAATATCTTAGACTGTAATCCTAAAGTTGGCTACAGGATTAAAAAAAACTGCCTTGCATTCTTCTGGGAGGCGGGGACATTAAACAGCTTTTCAGTATAGAGAAACTGCATTAAAAATGCAATATCTCGCCTATAAATCTCCTCCTTAAGCACTCTGAATAACCCTTCACTTCACCAAAACAAGATGTTGAGCTAAATAATCTGATACCAGAACTGTGAACATAAACTCTGTTGCTTTTGCTTCCAATAAACAACACTTTGCTCCAGCCAAGCCACTGATACTAGAATTTATCATGGAATTCAGTCTTATTCAGCCTGAGACAACATAACAGAGGGTATCTTTAGCCTTGGTAGTTCTGCTGTGGTATCTGGGTACATACAGCTCCAGGAAAAAGCCATTCCAGCACCAGCGTGGGAAAAACACCCTCTTCTGTAGGTCTGGCACACAGTGTGCCATAAATACTCTGTGGGATTTTCACATCATGCAGAAGAAGTTAAAAAGGGACTAAAAGCTGCAGAGTGGGATGTTTCATTGTTCTAATGTTTCTGAATTCAGTTTTCAGTTTAAGAGGAAATGTACATTTATTCATAACTGCCCAAGTGTGGAAAAGCTCAAAAAACTGGGTACAGTTTGGTATAACAACTGTGGAAAACTGCCCAACTGTAAGAAATTGTTGTTTCTTACTGATTACCTTCTTCACCACTCCACAGAACATAACAATTCTTGAATTCCTATGAACTAACGAATTGAAACAAATAGCTCTAATTTAATAGTATAGTTCAATTAAAGTAGAAATGCATAGAACAAGAGAATCACATCAAAACAGGTGTTAACACATTACTGTGCCCTGAAATTAATCAAGATCTGTGCAAAGATCACAGTTCAGTTTGTTCTGAAGATAATCTGGGTTGTTTTTCTTTCTCTCTAAATATTATTTTTCAGAATTACCATTCTTCCTCCAGTAGAGAAGCTGAAGATCCTACTGGAGAAAGTGAAAGACTTCCACATAAAGTTTCTTGAAAAATATGCATGAAACTACTGTGGCTTTTCCTCCCTCGTCCCCTCCCCTTCAAGGCAAATGAAGACAATGAACAAAGATGTGCTGAGAATGTGCTGTTCATCTAATTTACATAAATTCAAAATAGAACCAGTCTCAGATACTGCTACAGCTTATTGGACTGTTAAAGTTAATGTCTGGTATAGAAGACATTGTTACATAAACTTGATTTTAAGGGGAAGGGAAAGAAAGTGAAGGAAGCGGTGAGAAGAAAGAGTCAGTTAATGTTTTTGTGCCTTGATTGGAAATTACATTGTGAATTTTGGACTCAATAGGTTGGGAAAGGGAATTGCTCACTAAAATTATTACTGTTATGTGGGGTTTTTTTACAGAACAGAAATGCAAAGATCAATCGTTTAGCTAGGAAAATGTCCCATCCTAAAATTCTACTAAACAAAAATTCAAACCCCTACATTATAGGTATTGTTTGGTTTAATTTTTGTTTTTGTTGTTGTTAATTATGAAATGTTCTCTAGATCTGATTAAGCATGTAGGTACATCATGCTTATTAAAAAAATTTTTGGCACTTGTGTGCAGATACCTTTGGAATTCTGCAGAAAGGAAATCCTGCCATCACAGCATAATCAGGATGGAATATACAGTTTTGATCAGAGAAGTGAATATGGTGTCTGCTTGGACCCTATTTTTTTGAAACTGAAACGTAATGAGGAATATTTTCTTCTTCTTCATGTGCTGTTCAACACAAAATCCCAGCACAAGAGTGCTGAACATTTCCTCTCATTACAATTCCACGAGTCTCCTGTTAGCTCTCATCTCTTACACATGTGGAACATAGTAAGGTATTGTTTCAAAGCAGATGTGAGCACAGTCAGTCTTTTGAAGTAGGGTAAGACACAACACACTTCCAGAAGCGCTCTGTCCATGGAGAATGTTTGTTTGGAATCACGTCAGAGACCTGCGGTGTGGCCCAAATCCAGCTTGAACTGGCAAAGACCAACACATGTTGTTACCAGGGGAAATGCTGAGGGGGATTTCTAATGAAGGGAAAGGTGTTTAAAGGAAAATGTCTTGCACCAAGCATAAAGAGAATGGTAGTACAGCTGACACTTAAATCTTCCACTGGCTGAATGACCCTGAGTGCTTATTAAAGCCCAGCTCAACAAGGTTGCTGTCTAGGAGTACAGCTTTTTTGACTCCACTGATCTGTGCCAGTTTCCCTGCAAAACAAAGGACAGCTTCTGTTTCTGTAGAGCTGGAAGCTGGACACCTCCTGCTGGCTCTGATAAAGGGCTAAAGGAACAGAGCTTCCAGTATTCAGATGTGAAAGCATTAGCATTTGTCAGGCTTCGCCTCAGCATTTACAGAGTTTATTCATTAAGGATATCACATTTAATCTAGTAGTTAATTTTAAGTTACCATATAAAAGTAAACTCATTTTCATGTCTATTAGCACTTTGTTAGGCTGCCTTTGTAGCTGGTTCAACATCCTATGCTGATACAAGTTACTAAATCCAAGGGCTACAGAATCACCGTATGGATAAACCTGTGCCAATTTATTACATGTGGAAGACGAGAGGCGTTGCCAGGAACTTTCCTTGCAACAGCAACCACCAGTCTATGATACAGCATTAGCTCCCAGTTCCTTGCTGAAGTCTGTGAGAGGAATTTAGTCCTCAATCACCTGCCAGTGGTCCCAGGTTCATGAATGAAAATGTCACGCTGCTAAAGAGTCACTGTGGAGGCTTGGAGAGAAAAAAATCATACTTTTATCCTTGGAGAAATGCACTTGTGGGAGGACAGCAGACTGAGAATACTTATGCTGCTACTATCCATTGATAAAAACAACCTTTTATTTGTTGGTATCCTTAATATGCACTAATAAAACAAATCCAGAAATCAAAACTGTAGTAGGAGATCAGAATATTGATGTGAAAATAAGACAAACAGCACTTTCCTATTCTGGGAATGTGTCCAAGTGAGATCTGGCTTTGGACTCATAACGCAGCGTAGATTGAAGCTAAGATCTAACAATGGGCGTTAGAATATTTTTTTATATTTTTGTAACTACAGCTTTTTCATGGGGTAGTATTTGTAATCTAATAAGTCAATAGATTTTATATTTGCCTTGCATTTGCACCTGATACTTCTGGAAAAAAATGTAAAGGTTTACAAGTTTCTAATGATAATTTACAGGTGTGAAAGGCTTTTTGTTTTAAGTCAAGACAGCAATTCTTATACTTTTAAATCAAAATATAATGACATAAACTGAGTTTTTTCTAAACATTCTATTATGGTGCCTTTTATGTTTGTGACATTATAAGGGATAACAATTTGTTCTTGATGCATCTCATGTGGAAGGGTGGTGATTTCTATTGTCCATCCACAATATTTGTATGTATTGTGATAAGGTTAATGTGCATTTTTGTGGAACAATGCTGTAAAGCTAAGAAAAGAGGCTAATTTTCCATGTCTTTGAAGTCTTTCATTAATAACAGACAATCCTTACTTTCAGATGCATGCTTCTAGGTTTGATCTTCCTACAGGTGCTCCTTATAACAGTACTTCAGATGTATGAGACTTCCAAATAATAAAGCACATGTTAAAAAAAGGGTAATAGTTCTCCATTTCCTATGTCACTGAAGCAACACCAGCTGGATTGCACTATGACACATTAACCCCCTGTTATTTACTAAATATTTACTACTATTTAGCATCCATGTACCAGATCATTAATCTCTGCATCACTTCAATTTATGGACTTGAAATTTGTCCAACTTGTTACCACAAAACTAATTCCTACTATTGCAGAACCTCCCTGGGCAACCTGTGCCAGCACCTCACCACCCTCACAGCAAAAAAGTTCTCTGTAATATCTAACTTAATTTTCCCCTCTTTCAATTTCTACGTGTTGCTCCTTGTCCTATCACTACAGGATAGAATAGGATAAGATTAGGATAGGATAGGACAGGGTAGCAGAGGACAGGCTTTATGCCGCTCTGCCCATCCCTCGGGCACTCCCGAGACGAGGGACCCATAGATCTGCACCCTCCTCTGCCCTCCCTTCCGACAGGAGCCGGGGAAACCCTAGGGTACCCTCGGCTCCCGCCCCGGCGCCTCCCGGGCCGCCCCATCCCCTCCCCGAGGTGTGTCCTCCCGGCCCGCGGGCGGGGGCGGAGGGAGAGAGGGAGGATTCCCGTCTTTCTCCGCGGTCCCGGGCTCGGTTCCCGGCGGGATGGTCGCCAAGCTCCTGCGGAAGCCCCCGGGCAAGCGGCACCGCTCGGACTGGGGCGTGGAGCCGGACCACGGGGAGCTGCCCCAGGAGCGGGACCAGCGCCCGGGGCTGTGCCAGGAGAAGAAGGATCAGCGCATCGCGCTCTTCCTCAGCGACTTTGAGCAGCAAGGTATGGCCGGGGCCGGTGGGGCTGTCCAGGGGGGAAGCAGTAGTGCCCGCCGCCGGCGCTCCCCTGCCCGGGATGGGTGGAGGGAACAGCGGCTCCCGGCGGGAAGAGCCCCCGGCCGGGAACGCGCCCTCGGGCAGCGCCGCCGGCACCGCGGTCCTCGCCCTCGAAGGAGTGGCTGGTAGCAGGCGCTCCGACTCCCAGGTCGGATTTCTCCGGTTAAAACGTTGTTTTAATTTCCTTTTATAATGCGATCTTCCAACGCTTATACTTGAAAACATGTAACACGCATGGCAATAAAAGCTTGTTTTGTTTTGAAACCAAGGAGGATCCCATTCCAGGGGATGAAGAAAGAGCTCGATTCGCTGCTGTAAACAGCTGAGAAGGCGTTTGCAGTGGAGCTGCTGACGATGCCGGCTGCCATCAGGAAAAGGAAAAGGAAAGACTTGCTCGGTAAGTGTGCGTGGCCCAGTCCTTGCGAGGGGTGCAGACAGGGTTAGGGAAAGACGTGTCTGCGACTGGTGTGAGAAAACCTGTAAACTAGGGGACTTCTATGTACAAGTTTGCTTTGTCAGCTCAGTATTTTAAGCTAATCAGCAGAGCTGTTACCCTGCAGATTGGTAAGTAAGCACTCTTGTTCAAGTAGACTAATCTGTGTAATGCAAGGTATAGAGTTAGCAGGTAACAGTGTATATAGTCTGGAGCTTTTTCTACTTATGCTCTAAAGTTGTATTTGAAGTCTGAAGACACAAGGAATAATTACAAACCTAGTGCTTTCTGTGCATAAAAACATAAGCACTTCTGTCCATTTGAATCTGTTCATCCCAGCCACAGAGATTTTTTTTTTTTTTTCAGTTTTTGTCACTTTGAAGCCTTTTACTACCGAGCCTTTCTCAACTAGTCATTTACCTGTGATGGTGAACAAATAAGTTGAATTTTAACTGCCATGTGTGCAGCAGTTTAAGATGTGGTGTACACTCAGCCCCAGACATACATTCTGGTGAGAACTGATGTTTTTGGAAGCTACCTTGCAGCTGGAAATTGTAGGCGCCATGCAAATATCAGACCTAAGACTCTGGAATAACTTAAGTTTACTGTAACCTAACTATGTATTTTGGTGTTTTTCTTGAGAAACTTCTGCCTAAAAGCATTAGATTTCTGCAATACAATGTGTCTGCGAGGTTCTTCTTTGAATTTGTTATATACTGTGTGACTACATTCAGTGTCTTTTCAAAGATTAAACATACTGAAATTTTCATTGTTTTGTAGGATGACTACGAAAAATGCAACATATATGCTAACTAAGGTTAACTATTTAAGCCACTGTAACCCTGAATTACTTATTCATCTACAAGGCCTTAAGATAAGAAGTTGAAGATAAAAATTATCCAAGTAATAGTATCTAAACAAGTTATACTTTCTTGAGTTACAGATTTGCAAGAAGGAGAGGAAGTGGCTCTTGCTGTGGCAGTGGTAAGTGTGTATTTTCAAATTTTATCATAGTTTACAGAATAGAATTCTTCTCTTCCTGTTGTAAATATTTCAGACAAAATATTTTGTTTGTCTGCGTGTTTAAATAGAAGATGATATTGAAAGGCTAGAGAGCCAGCCACGGTGCAGTTATGAACATTACCTAAGCTTTTGGGGTCATCTGCTGGGAGAAATCCACTTATGCAAAAATAAATTGGTGTTTAGCCAATCTCACTTCTGTCAATTGCTTTCATGTGCTTTAGTAGCATAATATTTATTTACTGGGTAAAATCCTTTGACCTCCCCTTGCTGGATAAACACTATTTTTTAGACTGGAAGGTGTATATATGAGACAGGTGGTTGGTTGTACAAATATGAATACATTTTGACAGCATGAAACTCCTTTTAGAATGCATATTTGCCAGTTTATATATATATATGTAGTGGGGCTTAACTGCTCTTTTTCAATTCTCACAGTATTGTTTCCTGCAAATCCCTATCCTTTTGCTTTCAAATGCCGCTTCTTTTAATTGGAACCTTACATATACATTTTTAGATCTCCAAAACCATGTCGTTGGTTTCACTGGTCTCTGGTTTAAATGGTGAACTGAACCCTCTTTCGAAGGTAAGACTGACCTTCGATAGCTTATTTAACTCACCTGAACTTGTGGGTGCTGAGAAAAATTATTTTCAAATGAAGTAGCTGAGATTTGAGCCCAACAGGAATACATCTGATAAGGATGTCCTCCCTAACTGAGTGAGATGCACTGTGGTTATGGGAACCGTGGACTAAAAGCACCTCTAACTGATGAAGGTGTGGAGTTGTATTTCTCACTGAATGGTCCATAGTTCTGAACTTAGGGAATCAGTAAAGATTTCCAAACAATACTTGATGGAAGAGAGTATGTAAGGAAAGCATCTTTGTTCTGTTAGGACTAATAAATTGTTCTGTAATAAATACTCAACCTGATTATTGTGGCCCTCCCTTACCTACTAACACCAATTAATTCTTTTGATCCTGTAGATTGTTAGGTCCCATGATATCATGTTTACGTCAGGAGGGCTTTTTCACCTGTGTATACACTAGATGTCTGTCCTGGAGCACTCCCTAATCCACTGTCTGTCTAACTTCAGCCCAGCTAAAACTTCACATTAGAAGTAGATGAAGAGGAATAAATAATCATAATAAAACAAGAACAAACAAAAAACCCCAAACAAAATACAAAACTGATGTGGTTTTTTTGTGTGTTGTTTGTTTGTTTGTTTTTTTAGTTTCAGTTTGTGTTAACATCCTTCTGCAAGTCACACTTGCAGAGGAGTAAAGTCTCTCACTTCTCATTGCAGTGCCACAAATCTCACAGCCACTCCAAAGGTACCTAACAGGTAAGAGGTTGTAATGGACTGATTAAAAGATGGAGTCTGCTTCACCATTGCCTCCAGCATGGAGCTAAAAAGCCTTGATGGAGCAGCTGAGCTGTTTGCAAAAGCTCCAGGAGGTCCCTGGCAAGCGACCAGGTAGCCCAGCATTAAAGAGGGTCCTTGGAAAAGAAGTTGTTACAATCAAGAACGCGGCAAGGTCTTACTCTTCCAAATAAGGTTTGTCAGGCAAATCTTGCTTGGTTTTATGGTCCAGCCAATGGACACTCAAGGCCCAGCTTGGTCCCAGGCAAACTTTGCTTGGGTACTGCTGAACTGGCCAGTGGGCACTTGGGGGGTGTGATGAGGAGGGTATTTGGGGCAGCATGCCAGTGGCACTTCGTGGTGGTTGTGACTCCTGTCCTGTGCTTTTAACAGTCACCCTGAGCTTTTAAAACCTTTCCATCTCCCTTCTTTCTCTCTGTGTTACAAAATAAAGTTGAATTATCCTTTTTGGAATCCAGCATCTGGCCTTGCTTACGGGAATGTTTTAGAATCTGGTTCCCCTCCTCATCTAAGCAGATCAGAACAGGGGTTTTTGGCTTGTTCTTAAAAATAATTTTGTTAAATACCAGAATTTTGCAGAATATTCTGAGTTGGAAGGGATCCACAGGGATCACTGAGTCCAGCTCTTGTGGGAGTCAAAGGAGCAACATCTCTACCTCAATTAGGTTAGGAATTTAGAATTTAGTGGTCTCTGACCTTAGAAGAGGAGCTGTACCTTAATCAACAAAAATGTACGTTTTCTTGAACTTTGCCATTTTGGCTGTTTTTCTCTTAAACCTATAATCAGTCTAGTGTCATAAAATAAGGGGAAGGGAAGCTGAGATAATTGAAAACATCTGAATAGTCCACCTGAAGGACGTTAACCAAATGAATCATATACTTCAAAAGGTGCAATCAATAAAGTTGTTTTCGTAGGAATTAAATTCAATAAAGGATTGTTTAATAGCATGAGGTTATCTTTTAACTAGTGATAGATGTGTCTTGCAGTGGGGTAAAGACAATCAGCTGAGTGTCCGCCGCCCCAAATTCCTGCCACACAAGAGACACTAGATGGCGGCCTTGCTCCACGAAAGACAAGTTAGGGGAAACGAGTTTAGACTCCTGCCGTAATAAGGTGGGTAGTTTTCTGGGAAGCAACTTTGAATGTTACAGTGTGTAAGTAGCCGAAGGAACTGTACTTTGGTGAGCATGTATGGTGAATGATTCCCTGTTTTCCCTTCACGACGAATTAGAGGAATGTTTCATCCAAACGACACTGTGTCTTGGGGTATGATTTCTTTGTTTCAGCTGGTGCTGCAACTCGGATCCCTCTGTTCGCTGTGAG